GAACACGACTCGGACGTGGGTCGGACCGACCTTGTTAAGCATCAAATTGACACTGGTGCAGCCCGACCCATCAAACTCCCTGCGTACCGAGTGGGCGCACCCGAACGCGCCCAAATCAAAGAGGCAGTTGGGGACATGCTTCGCGATAACATAATTCAGCCCTCGGCGAGCCCCTGGTCAGCCCCGGTGGTACTAGTAACGAAAAAGGATGGGTCAACCCGGTTCTGCGTCGATTACCGTAAACTAAACGCAGTCACGCTCGGCGATGCCTTCCCCATACCTCGCATCGACGACACCTTCGACAGTCTCGCAGGAGCGCGGTATTTTTCCACCCTCGATCTGGCATCCGGTTACTGGCAGGTGGAGATGACGGAGGAGGATCGGCCAAAAACAGCATTCACCACCCCGATGGGCCTGTTTGAGTTTCGAGTGTTGCCGTTCGGACTCACCAATGCGCCCGCGACGTTCCAGCGGCTGATGGAGTTGGTGATGCGGGGCTTGCAATGGGAACAGTGCCTGATTTACTTGGACGATGTGATAGTGTTCAGTAGATCTTTGTCTGAGCATTGGTCCAGGCTTCGAGAGGTGTTCCAGCGACTGCGAGCGGCTCATCTCAAGCTCAAGCCACGTAAGTGTTACATCGCACAACGCGAGGTGGGGTACCTCGGGCATCGCGTCAGCGAGGCAGGCGTGCACACCGATCCGGAGAAGGTGCGCGCCGTAGTGGAGTGGCCACGGCCAAGGAATCTGACGGAGATCAGATCATTTTTGGGGCTTGCCACCTATTATCGTCGATTTGTAAAGGGATTCAGCGAGATTGCACGCCCCCTCACCCAACTCACTTCCCCTAAGCACCCCTATCAGTGGACGGGGGCCTGCCAGACGGCCTTCACCACTCTCAAAGACCACCTCACCCACGCCCCCACCCTTGCTTTCCCCGATTTTACCACCGATTTTATTTTGGACACCGACGCCTGCAGCAGCGGGCTGGGCGCGGTGTTGTCACAGGTACAGGATGGGACGGAACGAGTCATCGCGTACGCCAGCCGGACCTTGAGTGGGGCCGAGCTGAACTATTGCGTGACCCGCCAAGAGTTGTACGCCGTGATTTTCGCATGTAAGCAGTTCCGGCCGTATTTGTACGGCAGGAGATGTCGCGTACGCACTGACCATTATGCTCTGCAGTTTCTTCTTACATTCAAGGAGCCGCGGGGGCAGATGGCCCGGTGGTTGGCGCAGTTGCAGGAGTACAACCTGCAAATCGAGTATCGGGCTGGCCGGACGCATGCAAACGCGGACGCCTTATCGAGGCGACCCACGGTGTACGCCGAGACGAGGGCGGAGGAGGCCTGCCCGTGTTTCACGGGGGGACGCTGCCGGCAGGCAACGGACCCCCGAGAGGCCGCGGCCACTGACCCCCCCCCAGCGAGGGAGAGTGCAGTGTGCGCCACAGAAACCCTCACAGGTGGCACTGAGGATCCCGTCGACCGCCCGGCAAGCGCGGGACCCGCGGCTCGGGACCCGATCGGACGGATCCAGGAGGACGTCGGCTGCGCCTTCCCGGGCCTAAACGACGAGCAGCTGAGACAGACCCAGCAGCGAGATCCGGATCTGGCGGCAGTGGAGGCGGCACTGCGGGAGGAAAAGAGCGCCCTACCAGGACCCTGGAGCGGTTTGTATGCCCGGTTGTGTGTGCGGAACGGAGTGGTACGGGAGTTAACCGAGGCCGGCCAGCCGGGGGGCATCTGTGTTCCTGCCCAGGTGCGACCCCAGCTGCTACGGCTGGTGCATGACCACCCACTCGGGGGCCATGATGGGGAACGGCGCACCCGGGAGACCCTGCGTCGCCAGTATCTCTGGCCCAAATTGGCACAAGATGTGGCCGCCTGGGTGCAGGGCTGCCGGGCCTGTCAGCAGTGTGGGCAAAAGCCGGCGAGGTACCAGGTACCCCTGAGGCCGTTCCGAGTCAGTCGGACGAATCAGTTGGTCGGAATCGACCTGCAGGGGCCCTTTCCACGATCCCACCGGGGCAACCGATATATTCTCGTAGCGGTGGAATACTTCACCCGCTACCCCGTGGCGGTGGCTATCCCAGATAAAACAGCCCTTGTAGTGGCCCGGGCCTTCGTGGAAAACTATGTACTTAAGTGCGGGATCCCCGAACGAGTCATTACCGACCAGGGTAGTGAATTCGAGGCCGAATTATTTCAGGCGCTGTGCCGAGAGTTCGGGATCCAGAAGGACCGAACCACGGCGTATCACCCCCAGGCGAACGGGATGGTAGAGAGGATGAACCAGACTCTGGCCGGGAAGCTTAAACGCATGGCGGCCGCGAATCAACAGGACTGGGACGAACACCTTCCCTATGCCCTGTTCGCCTACACCACCGCCGTTCACACCTCTACAGGACAGACCCCGTTCCTAATGATGTTTGGTCGCGAGTCTCGCCTGCCCGCAGATCTGCTGTTCGGTGTTCCTCCGCCGCAACGGGAGGAAGGGAGCCACCCCGTGGAGCACTTGCTGGAGACCCTGCGAGGGGCCAGGGGCCGAGCCTGCCCGCACGGAGAGGCCGCGCACCAGCGGCAAGAGCAGGGCGCCCGACCCCGTATGGAGCCCCCCTTCTACACTGCGGGCTCCGAGGTGTGGCTGTACACTCCCCGCGTCGGTGCCGGACAGGTGGGGAAGCTGACCACCTACTGGCGAGGACCCTGGATTGTGAGACGGCAGATCTCACCATGGACGGTGCTGATTCAGGGAGGAGAGAGGGGCCGGGAGATGGTGGTCAACATCCGCCGACTGAAGCCGTGGCGAGCAGCCCCCGAGGGGGGGAGCCCCGCCGTCCAAGTACCCCGAAACCCCGGGGTCCCCCCACCCCCCGTGCCCGGGGGCCTCGCGCAGTACATGGGCCCCACGGAGCCCCGGGCTCCGAGGGGCCCCGGGCGGGGCCGGGGGCGACGAGGACGGCGACCCTTAAACCCCACCGCCTCTGAGTTTGTTCCCCAGCCCGCAGGTGCCAGAGGCCGAGGGGAGCCGTTGGAATGGAGGAGGAGACCCCCGCCGGAGCCCCAGGAGACGGAGCCGCCACCCCCGAGGCCAACCACAAGGGCCGGGCGAATCCCGCGGACCCCGCGGCGATACCTCGTGGGGGCAACCCAGGCGAGGTGCTCAAGTCAACCCGGGACGGGGACTGGCACCCCGGGGGGCTATGTGGTGCCACAGCGACGGGGCCGCTCTGCCGAGCCAGGGAGCCGCCCGGCTTCCCCCACCGCACTGCCCCCAATCACCCGCCCCACATAAGCACACACCCGCACGCATCCCCCCCCCCCCCCCCCCCCCCATAGAGCTGGAAGGGAAGGTTACCTGATCGACCGGTTTTTATCCGAGAGACCCTTATCGGGATTAATTCTCACGGTTTCCGGCGATCAGGGAATTGGATGACCTCCCCCGTGCTACGTGGTACCGCGGCGCTGCTGCCGGCCTTAATATGGTGTGGTCGCGGCGTGGGGCATTCGGCCACCGCGGTTGAGGCGCATTTCCCCCCACACACACCCCCACGAGTCGACGGGGCAAGCAGGGGAGGCACGGGACAGCATGAATAGCGGGGTCACAGGGGCTGTTGCGCATAGTCATGGAGGGTTGGGATAATTGCGCTTGAGCGCGCAAGCCCCATTGGTAGGAAGGGTAAGGGAGTAATTAGGATTTACGCCTTGCACGCAGCACACTGATTAGCATATCAACAGCGCCTGGGGACTGCCGTGCGCGGGCTTGGGGTGCACGAGCCCATTGTTCAGCGCAGCATCCCCTTTGGGAGGTAGGGAGGATAAATAGAGGAGCGCAGAGGGGAAATCGCTCTCTTACTCCAGCGCCAGGCGACCAGACGCAGCTCGAGCCAGCGACCCGGACGTCCGTGCGACGCACCGAGGCACGCGGTTAACACAAGGATCAGCGGACCGCCGTGGACACTTAACAGTGAGTAAGAAGGGGAATTAGAATCATAGCCGATAAATAGGGAATAGGTACAGGTTTAGTGGAATAGGCCAGCCTCGTCGACTCACTGATTCAACATCAATTCGCAGGTGGCATATAATAAATCATTAATAGCGAAGCGTGGTCTCGCGTGATCTTGTCGTGCAGTGTGAGCGTGTGGGTGCGCTGTGTGCACAGTGGTTCGCCACGTGAGTGAGCGCTGCGCGGAGCTGAGCGCGCGGGTTGCGTGTGGGAACGCGTGTGGTACTGTGTGTGCGTAAGCTCGCGGCGTGCGTAATAGGCGTACCCCAGGTGCGCGATCATAACGCAAGCGGCCAGCAGACGGCGAGCGCTGCGCAGAGCGGCGCAAGAGTGGGTGTCGCGTGTGTTCACTCCGTGTGTGATACAGGTGCGCGATCATAACTTGCGTAGTTGGTGTGGAGTTGGAGTGCACGGAGCGGCGTGTGTGTGTGTGCATACGTTCGTTACATGTCGGACACGGATGCGCATTGGTAACGTGCCGCACAGGGCTATACTGCGAGCACGGCGTTTGATTGACGATGATGTGCGCACGTATGCTCGCAGCGTGGGAGCGCGGCGCGAGGCTGTAACCCTAGTGGCGTCGCATTCGAATGCCGGCAAAACCGTAGCGAGTAATAGGGAGGTGGGGTAACTTAAACGGAATAGGGGATGCTGGCGGGAGGGACCCCGGGGGCCAACGGCCCCCACACATACGTCATCTTGTACATTACTTTAAAAAGACGCGAGATGGATGCCCATATCTGGTTTGTCATTCCGTTGGTCACTTATATAATTGAGACAATTTATTTTGGTCCACTGCCCTCTGCTGCTTCTCAACAGCGTATAACAAGCCTGTTATGCATGTTGGTCGGCAACGAAAGCACTATTCAGGCTCAATCCTGCTCATCTTCTGAGATCTGACAAGATCGGGCACATTCTGGGTGATTTGGTCACAATTAATTGTTTACGGAAAACAAATATGAATTCAGATATCAAAAACACACACATCTGTACCAGTTTCCTCATGCACTTTTATTACTCGCCTAAAAGTCACAAATCAATGTACGAAGATAAACAGGTGTTCATTATCTCCGCTATATGCTTCACGTGGTTATTAGCAGTAGACCTACATTACAACAAGCACGCCTGCGTCAGTGAAAACCAAAAACTGTCATTATATACCACGGTAAAGCTGAATTATTTGTCAAAACAAACCTGTCAATAGATTTAGAAAATAGTAACATACAGAAATGTCTTATTGGCAACGTTTACAAATTAGAAATTGAATAAGGTTTTATCAATATATATTTATAGTTTATGACGTTAAAGTCATGATTAAGGGGTAACTACCAAAGTCATGAGGTTTACATTTTATTATACGATTTATCTTTGACGAACATTAAGACTTCATATGTAGGGTTTAGGAGTTACATTTAAACGCGTTTTCGTTCACCAGAAGTTTAACACGAAACCAAGCTCGTAGCAAATCACCGACACCACTTTGCCACTTTCTTAAGGGACCTGGAAAAATCAGACAAGCAGCCTGACCAGTTCACTTGCGATCACGAACAAAAATAAAAACCCCTCTTCTTGGTTCTTTCGGTAAAGTCACGTAGAAGGGAAATAATAAAATAATAAAAATAAAACAATCAAATACAATTCTCACGACGTTTCGGCAACGCTGTCTTTCTGACAGCCCTGTTCTTCACCTGAGGACGGCTGCTTGCGTTGTGGCCGAAACGTCGTGAGAATTATTTTATTATGTTTTATTTTTATTATTTTATTATTTCCCTTCTACGTGACTTTACCGAAAGAACCAAGAAGATGAATCCCTGCAGTCACGAAAGCTTTAAATCAAAAAAGAAAAACCTTTGGACAAATAGTGAAAATACACAAAGGTGCTAATGTCTGCATCGTCTGATTTTCCTTTAAACTCACCACAATGCACAGCAAATTAAAATTGACTCAGTGTTACGGCTTTCCCCCCATGTTTTCGGGCTGTGCCGCGTTTAGTTCGGCATGATGTCCCAAAAGTGTCGCTCCACGTGCTGGGAGCTTCTTCAAAACTGAAACTGCGCAGCTCGCTGTTCTCAAAGTCCAGCAAACACGTGGCACAAAACCCCAACTCATCGGATAGCAGCATTGCAGCATGTCCACGAGAACGCGTACGCAGCAACTAAATTTTTCGTTTCTCATTTCGGAGAAACAGTGGACTTCCAATAACCCTGCGGATGTGATTTCATCGCAATTTTTTTTTTACAATCGAGGCAGTTTGGAAAGGACTGCGTGAATAATTCTGCCACATGCAGGTACGGTTCTATGAGGCGTTTACAAGAGTGAGAAGGATATGTCGTGTGCATGATCTCCTGCACTTTTGTACATGGGGGAGCCAGGTTTAAGGAAGGTGGCACACGAACAGTTCACAATGCCAAATGTTGTGGCGTTCTGCATGTGAGACTTCTGGAGCCTCGACATAGACTTCAGGCCACATGCTGTTGAGTATCACTCACTTTGCTTTCGGGTTGTACTGGGTGTTGTTCGGCAGGATGTCCGACGTTTCGCCCCACGAACTGGCAGCTTCTTCAGGAACCAGTTGGACATAGTCCCGAACAACATTTGGTACAACCCCAAAAATATCGCTGAGAGGTATACAGCACAACCGCTATAACCTACGCAGTTACACTTAATGAATGTAGTTCCAAGGATTGAGGAAAAGTAGCGTTATACTACATAAGCATAACGTGGCAATGCGGTCCATGGGCATGGAATAAAGAAAACGCGACGCAAACTGAACATACTCACTAACCTGTTAAGCTGGGTTTAGTGTAATGGGCTTACATAATCATTGGGGGCTCAAGCATTAGGAGGGCTCGGTGAAAGTGCCGAGGATTTGAGACGACATAAGGGGGGGGGGAGGGTTTCTCCACATTGCTCCCTCCTCGATAGATCAGGCTTCTGTCAGCAACATTAGTTATAGATGAACTCACCATTACTTTATTTGTAAAATATCTTCATTTATCGGGTACTGAAATACCTCGGCATCTGAAAGCACCCCAAGTCACATCATCTCAACCATGCCATTGCCCGAAGCCAAACTAGCCTAGGAGATCCCCGGTAGCAACTGTCTACGCGACACAAAGTAGACACCGCTGAACTGCAACTGAGTATTGCCTGCCAGCTAGTGGCGATGCTACAACTAGTTCCTCCCTCCCCCGCACAAGTAAATACTTTGCTCATAAGCTATATAACAGTTCTCACGAGTTGTTATAATTGTAATGGGAATATAAGACATTTTTCAAGGGTAAGGAATTATTGGTCAATAAAAAATTAGGAACCGCTGGCTCGGTACATGGTGGTTACCTCTTTTAATGTTTACGTTTTTAATACACAGCATGCTCAGCTTTATTTGTGATGAAAAATATTAACAGTGATAATGTACCAGTGTCTGTACAAAGAGCACATTGCCCCTAAACACATCAACAAACGTAAATTAAGCGAATTAAACAGGGGCTCTCAAACTGAAAATCAACCCTACGAGGCTACATTAAATTGACTCGTAGATGAAATATACAATTACCATCTAAGTACCAGATTTCAATAAAAACCGTTTTGTTCACACATCTCTTTACAGTGAAAATAGCAGACAGGGTTAGTGTTGAGATATTGAAGCTAGAATTTGACGCGGGGTGCTTTGGCCCTATTTTTACATTGAAAGCCACGATTGTGGCCGAGAGTGTGGTGGGTACACAACAATATGGCTATTATAAAGTATGATAGTGGTGCAAAGTTGAGTGTGAGCCATGATAAGTTTGTCACTACTACTGCTGTTGCTTCTAAATTTGACTTGCGGTATTCAAATGATGTAAATATACCAGTGGTAATTGTATCCACCAGGGATCAGAATAATTCCATACATGAATTGTTATATCCGTGCCTGGTAATTGGTGAATTTTACACTACAAGTATTGGAACCACTTAATTAAAATCGGTCCTGAACAAAAAAAACAATATATTGTGCATTGATAAGATGTTGCCACGGTATCTGTACAAAAACCAGCAGTCCAACTTCTCACATTTGTCGTATTGATCCTGGAACCCCGAGACCATCAGAAGCCAGGGGATCTGTAGCTATGGCAACTGCTCAACGATCATCAATTTGGATGGTAGAGTTGTAGCCCCGGAATTGCTTCCTCGTGCCAATGTTGGCACAGTGGTCTTCACTAGACAGTTCTAGAGCCTATAGTGGGTATTTTGGCCTACTCGTGCTGGCTTGCCAGATGTCTTTGACGAGGTAGGAATAATCCACCGCAGTACCTGGCCAGACCAAGTGGATGACAAAAAATGTCAGCACCACCATAATATTTTGCCTGTGGTGAAGTTTCTACACTGCCATGCGGATTCTGCATCATATGAAACACAGGGATACCATGACAAAGGTAAATGTGGTCTGTCAGTTTAAAATGAACACCTCTCTCATCCAAACACCTATATAGACATCACAACGGATACGAGGGTGCTACATAGTTCTATTTAATTAGTCACAATTTTAAAAGGTACATTTAAATACAGTATATTTATTTTTAAAATTGTCAACTAATAAAATGATAACGTGCTGGCCCTGGGTAATATACGAATACCAACAATACATATTATAGGACTGATATTGGGCGACTACTACTGTAATATTGAAGTTAACAATATGGGGTAAACTATGTTAGTAGCAAATTAAAACACTAAAACCGAACCACAAAATAAAGGCAGGCCCCTTCCATCGTGCCAGACCCACGTTTTTTTTTGGCATTCACACCTTCCAAAGAGAAGTGTATTCACGGAAGGTGGATGTATCTACAGCAACACTGCACATGTCGACGGAACAGGCTGCGCTTTCTGTTTCATCCGCTCTGCATTTGGCAATTTGGAAGGCATTGGTTTCAGGATTCTCACAATCAAGAATTCACTGTTTTCAAGTTGCATGTGAAAGATTCTGTCGCCTCGACGGACCTGGTTTTCACCTGAGGACGGCTGCTTGCGTTGTGGCCGAAACGTCGTGAGAATTATTTTATTGTTTTATTTTTATTATTTTATTACTTCCCTTCTACGTGACTTTACCGAAAGAACCAATAAGATGAATCCCTGCAGTCACGAAAGCTTTAAATCGAAATTTACAAGCTTCTTGATTGCTCATTATCACGTGAGATTCCTTAAGACTGCTTGCACGTGTTACTTGCTAACAAGATCAGACTGGACATCTGTAAAAAAAAGCTTCATAGCTCATTGGGTTCCTCCAACCTCAACGTTGTGATTGTGAATCTGTATATATGTACTGTGGAAACTTATTGAAATGGTGTCTCATTGAATTTAACCAAGATTATTAATAATTGCTGCCGCTGCAGTGTCTGTAGTGTGGTAGTTTTTAATCGTGTTTTTTTCCTCTCCCAGGCATTGTGAACATACAAGCCGACAAGAGATTGACAAACACCACCTCACAGCAAACCTCACAATCCTAGACATATGCAGTCCAATAGTCTACTAGCCACATGCATTGTAACACTGTAATATGCATCGCCATAAAACATGCCCCCCCCCCCCCCTGATATTAATTCATTTGCACGTTCCTACGCATTCAGGAGACGACTGGCAAAACCTTGACACGGTGTCGAGATTGACCAGAATAGAATGTGTCCGGTGTTAGTGATGATGAAAGCTTTGCGTTGTTCCGTTTGTGTGGCGGGAACCGCTAATGCAATTCCTAACCTTCCCACACAAACCACGGAAAGTGAACAACCAACAGAAATATAATTGGGAAATACAAAACTTAAAAGACTGTTAACAAGAATTTAATGGAACGGCAAAGACCGCTGTTCAATCAATGCGCTTATCTTTTACTAACTGCAGGTTATACAGCTTAAACATTAATTCTGTAACCATTAGTGTAACGGTTGAATTGTAAACATTCAGTTCATACCCTAATCTTGCAGTACTTTTTTCAATTCATTCAGCATTTACAAAATTCAACTTTCACCAAAACCATTATGCGGATGATTTGTCAGTCATTTTATCACTTCTACATTATTTTTATTAGTGTTTCGTGATCTAGACACTGCATTTTTGTTTTTTTAAAGGTTAATTGCAAGACATTTTTTGTGAGCAACAATTATGGTGATTAATTCCGCTCTATGCTTAACATTGATTTTTAGATCCCCTTTTGAAATTTAGCCATTGTAGCGAGCTAAGGGGAAAGTAATTTTAATGACGGATGTTTTTATGGAATTACTTGTGCTCAAGTTGAAACCGTTGATCTCACTACACTTTAGATCCTGGATTAATGTAAAGCGAGCAGCTGGTATTCAAATAAAGATTATCAGCAGCACTGGCTCGTTGTTATACCGTTGTTTTTAATAAAAGTCACCATAGTCAGAAATTATGAATGTCAATAGGGTCTTTCCGCCAGGTTAATTGATCCCTATTATACTCTCATGTCCGTGTAAAGTTGGTCAGAAGTGGTCCTCCAAATTCTACAATTAAAGCGGTGTGGTTATGTACACGATACGAAGAGGTACCAGACATGTGCCGCACATTAATCGGTGAGAAAATGAAAGTGTGTTTTAATATCTTGCAAACAATATCACGCAGAACAACAATTTTGTTTTAATAGTATTTGTCAGCATCACCTGCAGTGTCACAGCCTCTACATGTAGCCCAATAATGAAGCCAACCGTACGCAACCCAAAACAACGTTACCACTTCGCGCTGGCGGTAACCTCCGGATGCAAGTGGTGCTCGTCCGCTAATCCACTCGTAGTGTGTGTTGTTAGTGTGGAGAGTTAAGCGGTGATTTACAGGAGCTGGCACTTCTTCTTGCGCTTCTTGGCGGGTGGGGGACACAGCACGGCGCGGATGGCCTCGTCAAACACGGTCTTGAGGCCGCGCTGAGTGAGCGCCGAGCACTCCAGGTACTTCACTGCTCCTGCTCGCACGCCACACACAAGCCACCGGGTAAAGCAACGCAGCAGCAGCAGCAGCAGGACCAGCGCAATGTGCATATAAAGAACCGTTCCTGTACAGGATAACACTTTACAGCAGTTTGTAAAATCCACAGCTTTTAGGCCGGAGAATTAGCGGATCTATAATATTGTAATGAGTTGCAGCAGTAGCGCTGTGGTTAGCATACTGTGTTACAAACTCAGCAACGTGTTCTGTTCCTGACCACAGTTATCATAAATGTTGAGCGATGTCTGAACCTGTTTTGGACCCTCCCACCACCACCTTCACCAGTCTGCACTGACCAGTGTGTTGAACTATAGTAAAAAAACTGCATGTAGAGACATGCATGTAGAGACATGCAGTTTTTTTTACTATCGAGAAGAGGTATGAGGCTGCTACAACTCCTACAAATGAATGATTCCAAACCTCTATTAACAGCTTCAAGAATACAGAATGTAATGTTAAAAAAAATACTGTCAGAAGGAAACAAGCATAGCAATTCCCTGGAATATTTGTAGTCAAACCTACTGAGGTCCTTGGGAGTGTGTATGCGAACTTTAATAGCGTAGTCGCTGTTAACATCAATTACATTCGACCAACACTTCTATTTATCATATTTCCTATTTAGTCCTTTGACAATCCATTAATGTATGCAATCCTCCCGGCGTTAGTTATGGCGGTTGATTGACCATACTTAAACACGCTGGTCAGCGTGGAAAGACCCGGGACCAGTTCACAAATCACCCTTCCCCAATGTTAGTTGGGGCCAGAATTGAACTTGGCAAGTTGAGCTCATGGCACAGAACGATAACCACTGTTCCACTGTTCCTCCCCGCTACTCCAACGGTCCACGGAAAGCTTTGCCTTTACGCATGACACTGATAACTAATGGATATGACACTGAACATTTAGCTCGCAAAATTAAATTATAGATGTGTCAATGAGATTGTATGTGTGTTAACATGCATCTGCAACGATGCACGAGTATGTGCGTACAATGTGTCCTCTAGATAATGTGAGCAAATAACCATGTTGCACATATAACGGGGGTATTGGGGACATCTAAATAACACAAAATTGGATATATTTTTCTCTTTTTCGAATTGCACTCCAGAAGCTTAAAAATAAAACATCGTGAAAAGAAACGCTGCATTGTTTTTAGCCGCGACTCCAAGCTGCACAGACGCCACACAGCCCCAGTTTAGTCCTGTACTGGCCAATTACTGTAGCAATTGACTTTGCGTTCCAGAATTAGTTTGTGATTTTCAGCTGTTTCAAAGGTGCCTTTTTTACATCAATATTATATTTGTGGATTCATTTTAGTAATTCCATATGGCAACATCACCCCTTTATCGGAAGACTATTATTGCCGCGTGTGAAAGAAAGTGCCTTCTTGATAACATTTGAGCTGGAAGAATGGCGCCAACTCATATCACTGCGGGAATTGCAAGTGCAGGCAAGGCTGCGCACGATGGTGCATTATCGCTACCAATCTCTTTGGCCATGGCCAGGCCCTGTGGGTAGGTGATGGGCGCCAGCTTCTTCTCGCGCAGCTTCTCCACAGTGTCCTTGTCGTCCCGCAGGTCAAGCTTGGTGCCAACCAGGATGATGGGGGTGTTGGGGCAGTGGTGGCGCACCTCCGGGTACCACTGGATAAAAAAGATTAAGGGTAAAGTGTGTTATCGCGTGTGTGTTTGTTTGCTTGCGTTTGTTTGCGGGTTTGTGTGTACTGCACTGCACGACAACCTGAGTTGGATTCCCAGCCATGGCTAACATCAAGTGCAAGTGAGGTCTGATAAAGTTCAAAGCCGCTTCTTGGTTGACTTAGCCTTAAATGAATACCTTGTGCAGCGTGTACACACGTTAGCACTGGGGAGACAAAGGTGTTAATTCTAGATTTGAAGCTTTCGTGACTGCAAGGATTCATACTCTTAATTATTTCGGTAAAGTCACGTAGGTAAAATTAATAAAAAATAAAACAATAAAAATCACGACGTTTCGGAGGCAATACAAGCTTCCGTCTTCAGGTGAAGACGGAAGCTTGTGTTGCCTCCGAAACGTCTTCAGGTGAAGACAGAAGCTTGTGTTGCCTCCGAAACGTCGTGATTTTTATTGTTTTATTTTTATTAATTTTACCTACGTGACTTTACCGAAAGAACTAAGAGTATGAGACAAAGGTGGCCAGGCATGGTGCAAGTCACACCACCCCACCCTATACCGTTGCAAACTTAATAGGTGCTTGCTAACAACACTTGCCCCAACAGTCTATAAAAGCTACATGGAGATCTTAGTTTGTTTACATATCTTTGTTCTGTTGTGTAAAGGTAGTTATATATGTGCATGTATATTTTGCGTGCCTCCGTTTGTGTGTTTTTTTGCGTAGGTATGTGAGCATTTTCAATCCAGATCCATTCAGTTTGGTTCCCTTCAGTAATGTGCTGGCTGGAGCTGTATGCAGTGTCTTTGGCCCAAGAGTTTATAAAGGGTATATGGGTAAAGTTTGTCTTTGCATGCTTATACAAGTGCAGGTATATGAGATGCTGTGTGCATAAAAGTGTGCTGTGTATATCTCCGTGTGTCCGTATCTCTGTGTACACATGTGCATCAACCCACGGGCTGGTTGAATATTCCAATTCACCCCTTTGCTCGCTTAGTTGAATGTGAAGGAAGTCTTCGTGAACCCCTCAAATCTGCAGCCGTGTTACCATGTTGAAGACAGTGTGGAACATTTCTGTGACGGCAATCCACTGCTAGATGGAGGCCTCCCAACACCATGCGGTTCATGGAGGGGTTGTCTGTCCATACTTCACCAGGTTGGTTAATATGGGTTAGGTGGGGTGAGGTGACTCGGGATAAGTTCAGATATCCCTCAGAAAATGGCCATACAGTACAATAATAAGATTTACTGCAATGCATTGTTGCCTACCACGTAGTCCCACACCAACCTACGACACCTGTCATTCATGGTGGTTGCCCACCCAAGCACTCTCCAGGTTTGGTCCTGCTTTGCAATCGAGGTCCGATGAGCACCGACACATTGTGAGCGATTTGGTCATCGTGCTGTTATACTGGTAGGAACCTCCTGGTTACACCAGTCCACAGGGGATTATTCTGTCCGTCCCTCGTGCAGGGAGGGGCTTGGTGGGGAGGGGCTGGGTGGGGAGGGGAGGGTGGGGAGGGTGGGGCTGGGTGGGGAGGGGTTGGGTGGGGCTGGGTGGGAGGGGTGGGGCTGGGTGGGGAGGGGCTGGTTACCCCGTACGTTTAACCTACTCACGCCGGCTTGTGCCCGCCCTCACAGTCGGCCATATTTACGGAATACACCACGCCGCCGTTGACCCTGGCCATTGACCGAGCAACCCAACGTTCCTACCAGCTCCCTCCGCAGGAATGTGTTTGTTACATATTGTGGCAATGACCGCGCGTCACCACGAACGCGGAATCAACGCCGAGTGAATGTGGCAATGCTCACTTTGGCACGGACGTTTTCAAAAGAGGCCGGGCTCACCAGAGAGAAACAGATCAGGAACACGTCCTGTTAAAACAAATCCACAACATACGCTTAGTATAAACCAAAGCCTATTCACATTAATCTCTTAATATATTCACCACAAACACTCTCCTGTGTAAGACTCTCAAAGCAGTCTTTGTGACCAATTCCATTTGGGTTTCAGTCAAGACTACTTTGGGTAATTTTGCTGCATTTGGCATGGTATATTTGTGTATTTATATATTTATGCTTTTTTTACCTAGGAAAGCATCACCGAGTAATTTTCAAATAATTTTATCAGCATTGGGATGATTAACTAATACTAGTTACACTGTTTTTAGTAAAAAGATGGAAACCAGAGAACCGAGGAAACCCATGCAGAATAGTGGGAGAAAATAAACTCCACACACTGCAAGGCACCAGAGTCAAGAGTTGAACCCAGGACTTATTGCAGTGAAGTACAAGTGTAAAGGGTAGGCCAATTGTTTGTTCATTAGTTGTCTGCATTACCTCTGTAGATGGACAATATGTAAATTAGGCTAGGAAACACATGTATTGCTTACTTATGTAGAATGGTGGTGAAGACGAGAATGTGTCATCTGTTTTAATTGTTTCATAAATAAATTGGGTCAACACCTGCACCGAGTCAGAGTGAGGGGCATCTAATAATTATTAAACCAGCTTTGCCTGTCAGCTTTTAATGAGTTCGAATTTAGGCGCGAACAACTTCTTGGGAGGCCACACTATTTATTACTGAACAACAATTAACTCTTACATTACGCATAAGGTGGTGACCACCGACCTACTCTAGCTAACACACACTTCTCTAACTCTCAGCTACTCTAGCGTGACCCAGCCAGGTGGGCTACTGGCAAGTCCGCTGACTGGAGGCTTGACTCTTCTTGGGATCTTCACGATGCATCTTCATTCTTGATACGGGCAGCCTCGAACCTCGTGAGGAGGCTGCTTATAATGGCCTCGGCGTGCCAGGGCCCCACCCTGGCCACGCCTCCCTCTCGAAGCCCCCCCCCCCCCCTGCTGTCCACGTGCCCCCCGAGGTGCCCCCGGCCCCCACTGGGATCCAGTCACGTGTCCAGCCGGGGTCACAGAGTGCCACGACCTCACACCACCGCCGTGGCCTCCCGAGTCCAGAATCGGCCCTGACGTCATTCCCGCCTCCAGCCGGGATGACGTCATGTGTGTGTGTGTAGACCCACGTGGTAGTGACGCTCCCCCACATGGTGACGTCCCACGTGTGCATGTGTACACAGTAGTGATGCTACAATCACTACACATGCACCGTTAATTTGCAACCCAGATAATCCACACACGGATATTGATAGTTGACTTCAAATGTAGGTTTGTCATAGCCAATATTGTATTCCATATTCCTTTTTGGGTTAGTCCATTTAGAAGTAGTTTCATGGCAAAATTCTTGTCATGAACACTCCACCATCAAACATGATTGTTAAGTTGACAAAGATATTATTTACACATGCCAATAAATTGATAAAATTCTGACCAAGAAAGCTCCTCACTCGTGGCTTAAACAATTTAACTTATAGCAAGCAGATACTATAAAGATACAACATTTAACTGTACAACTTAGTAACCAAGGCTTCCTAAAACAACACTACCAGTCGACCTCTACTCCATAGGGGGTTGCTCCTCTGCTGCCTTTGATGTTGGGAATTTCCTCTCCCATACTCTGCACACTGCTGCCATCTCCGCCTGTGAGAGACCTGATGACCTTACGATTAACTGTCCGCCTTAAAATTGTTCCCTACATCCGTCTTCATACTGTATCAACTGCTCATCCATGCCTCGAGGGCTTTATCATAATTTCAAAATGTTTCAAATAATATAACCCACAACCCTATCCATCCTTTCAACAACCATTTTCCAAAACGCATGTCTCATAACTGCAAAGCATTTAGACACCATATGTAGAGCCCTTTTGTCAACCCACCGCTGGATGAGGGCCTCACCACTGGCAGCACAGATGCTAGAGCATGATACAGCAATTCAAAGGATTTGCTGCACTACCCTCTACTGAAGGTAGAAAGCAAACACTTGTATTTTTCATGGTGGTTGCTCATCCAAGCACTATCCCTGCAAAACTCTGGTTGGCTTCTGAGATCTGAAGAGATGGGTATTGCAGGTGATTTGGCCACATGTCTGCAAGTGGCAACATCTCATTCTGCAATTCCTAGGAAACAACTGCGACTCAGTTATAAGCACTTCAAAAAAGTGTGGAGATCTCTGAAAATGAATGAACTAAGCAACAGTTTTGACTACCCGATGTTCAGATGAGGCAAATATCAACTCAGGTACGTGCATTTAATTCGTTTTTTTTAACGGTATGCCAATTATGCTGTGTCATGTTATGAGACAAATAATCCATTCAGATCACTCAAAGAGCAGTGCAAACCTTGGTGTTAGAGAACGGTCCACGGAGTGGATATCACAAAACTACGTATGACATCCCTGCGGTCCCTCGATGGGGCAGCACTTTCCCACCCATTCTGGCAGAGAAATGCTTGTCACATGACAATCAAACTGATATTAGAAATTATCAGAGCTATAGTGCAGCCAATTTAAGTGCACAACCAAATTGAATGTGACAGGTTTTTGTGTGTGTGCAGGCATTGGTATCCTGCCCGAGGATAATCAATTCGCCACACTTGAGAACTTGGTTTAATCACAGGTAGCCGAAACCCACATTCTAACAAAGAATCGCAGCTCTGCCAGCGCTTGACACCAGAGCCACCCAGCGTCCTCCTTTCTATCTTATTCAACCAGTTCTGCTACGAGTGTGCTCTTAGAACTCACTATCTGAGCAGCCAGTTCTACTACGAGTGTGCACTTAAGAGAACTCACTGTCTGAGGGTAAGAGAGTGGACGCAGACGGTCGTAGTCCTCCTGTCCGGCTGTGTCCCACAGTCCGAGGTTCACCGGCTTGCCATCCACCATCACGTTCGCAGAGTAGTTGTCAAATCTGTGCAGTCAGCACAAACAGCCCCCCCTCCCCTTATTAGATAACTACCAGGGAATACGAGCTGCCGTACACAATCACAAGGATCAGCTTGCTTGTCGGGTTTATTTTGCATGCACCGTTCATTTGCAACCCAGATAATCCATCCGCGGATATCGATAGTTGACTCAAAACATAGGTTTGTCATAGCCAATACTGTAATCAATATTTGTTTTTGGGTTCGGCCATGTTGTAGTAGTTTTACGACGGAATTCTTGTCATGAACAATCCACCACCCAACAAGATTGTCAAGTTTACAAAGATATTATTGATACATGCCAATGAATTGACAAAATTCTGATATAAATAATAATTAATCAAACATGATCTATGGACTTATGGATGAAGGCAACCTCCAAGCTGCCGTCATCTCTCAGGGTCTCATGATGCAACAATCCAATCTTTAACTCTGACGCACACGAGATGATTTTATCGCTCCCCCACTGTGGACATCCTTTAATGCATATCCCATCCTTTGCTTGCCACTGTGGTTTGTCTCGACCACTGGCCATCATCCCTTATAATAATATTGCATGGCCTTTAATCACCGTGTTGAGCTGCTCCTACTGTCTAAAACGTTCCGATCAAGCATACATATAACTATGCTTAATCACACAATTGTAGTAAACTTACTTTCACTCTGCTGACCTACACGACAATATTCTTCTATACTCATACATGTATACCAGCAAATTTAAATTACTCCATAATTCAAAACTATGCTGCCAAGATGCAGGGCTACATTGTGAGCTTCACAAGACAGTACAGAAAAATCTTTTATTGTACTGTACTTCTATGCTTCCACATATATGCTCCTGACGTTCAACCCACACTGACCAGCGCTGTGAAGTAGGGTCAAATAACCCTGATAGCCCTAATGGCATGGCTCTCATCCAGCAGTCGACTTCACAAAAGGAGTGTACAGGTACATTTACATTTTGTAAAGATATAAGCTACTTTCCAATATCTTAGGTAAGCCTGTAAAATGCTTGTATTATTCTGTGTCTATGAAAGTAAAAACTCTGGTTTCACAGTTTTTGCAGACAAAAGGCATCCTGTAAGAGTCACAAAAGCTGGCTATGTTTTGAGTGGCTTTAACCAAACTACCTCTTTCCAATACCCATCCCCTCCAAAATGTTTACCACTCGAGTTTAGTTCCCTCAATGAAAGCTTGCCAATGCCCCATTTAATGACCGTATTTAAGTGAATCGGCTGGAATAGATTGTGACACGAATGGGCACAGCTTTCAATGTCTACCTGAGCCTAGAGCGTTAGGGACACTTGTGAGAAGCGTGTGCATCCCTTCTCCCTAGGCTCTAGGCAAAAGCCTATGGCTAAGTTTTGACAGGGTGTCTTCCATATATGTTTTAGTACTGGCACTTTAAAACCAGAGACATCAATTATGAAAATCAGAGTAACGTGCTTGAATTGACGAGTGGACGAACAGTACTGTGTGGCCTTTGGCATTTGGAATGTGGCTGTAGAGCAAAAACACATGTAGGGCATGTGTAACTATGTGCATCTCTCTCTGGATCTCCATTTCCTCATGTCTTGCTATATTTTGCCTGTCTCTCCACGTCTACGTCTCATTCTACATCTCTCTACAAGTCTTTTGTCCGTCTCCGTGCATCTTTCCATGTCTACCTATGTCCATCTCTCTCAATCTCTATTTCTCTCCATGTTGCCCTTTGTATTTGTTTCTGGGGACCCTCCTCACCTCATCTGCATTGGGCTCTACTTATCGTTAAAATGGCTTTGAGTGAACCTTCACCCTATCTGCTCTGCACCCCATTGCTAATTTCTTCCATCTCTCGATGTGCCTGTCCCCCCTGTTAAATATGTCTGTACCGTTGCCTCCAGCCTAGGCAGAACCCAGAAGCAGCTGTGACATTAAAGCAGCACAGCCGCAAGGCGATGCTTCAACTGTAATATAACTTACATCATTCAAGAGTCAGGTTGTGCTTATTTAAAAATTGCATGGAGAAACCACTCCGTGATTAAAATTGATGAGTAATGATTCTCCCCTCTCAATTTAACAATTATTATTCTAAATCACAATTCAACTTAAACATCTATTCTTTAATATTTTTGTGTAGTGGCCTCGAGTGGCTCATATGAACCCATTACGCACAATATTATACAAATCGCACATTTTTGATTCGTACACCTAATTCAATACACGGATGTAAGCTTAAGAATGTATATTAATCAAGAAACTGATGCATCACTACACCCACACTAGAAAGCACCAATATTACTATCAATACCATTGTCCATAATACAGGCTTTTTTGTTAGATCGTGTAAATATAAATGGTCTTATTCTTGGGTCTTTCAGTAAAGTCACATAGATAGGTTCAAAGAAAATAACAAAAAATAACAAAGAACTACGACGTTTCGATTGCAACACAAGCGTTTGTCATCAGGAAGAAAAAAACATTTTTGTTGTCATCAGGAAGCAAAATATTTTTTTTCCTTTGAACCTATCTACGTGACTTTACCGAAAGACCCAATAATATGAATTCCTGCAGTCACGAAAGCTTTAAGTCAAGATATGTGTCGTTAAACCGACAACCACCTGACACAGCCAATTATTAAGGTTTGTCACGTAAACAGAACATGCCAAATCATTACTAGTACAGCAGACCGGTGTGTTGGAGAGCAAATCCACAACATTTACAATCTGAGTACGACGTTTCGCCAGTAATTACAATCAGCATCAGGCGGCAGCCAGATTTGTGTATTATGGATGATATTGGTTGTGAAAGCCTACGTGTTAAACTGACAATACCATTGTATTTTATGCTGCATACAATTTTCATATATCAGAAACACGCAGTTGCTTGATGGCATTCATTTAATGAATTTTCCATTTGACACAAATCAAAGCTGTCCACCTTCAGAGGCAATACCCATCATCTGTCAACAAAAAAGAATATGTCAACATGCCAACACACGTATACCTTCAGACGTTTACAAATTGTCGGCCATAACGTGTGAATCTTCTCATGCTGACAATACCTATATCTGGGATATGATTCATGGAAAAAAAGCACTGAAAATTGATTGAGGGATGAGATTAGATGTTTGGAGAAACGCACTGGATGGAGGTGGCAAGAGACTGTGAAGAGTGTAATACACTTGGGGAGATCTTTGCTCAGCAGTGGGATATTTAACGGCTAGAATCCAACCCCTGCATCATCATTGGGGAGAAGGGAAACATCATTAGCAGGAGTTGTATTAAAGTGCTGCTTAAAGAGCCTCTGGCCTTGGGTGTAGGATGACAAAGTGGCATATCTACCTCAGGTAGATGAGTCTCCAATAGTGATTATGCCACAAAAGGATAGCGAGTCACATCATCAATGGCAGAGGATGATCTTAGTGGGTCAAAGGCAGCCACAATATTGGGAGAGGATTAATAACTCTTTAATCCCTTACCAGCCACCACATCATGTCTCCCTGACAGAATCCATGCAGACAATGCACAGGTTATGGTAATGAGGCTGGCTGGATACTGGAAACCTAGGATGAGTTGTAAAAAATTAAGCTGATAGTGGTGGTAAGGGATAATCCTCTAACAATTTATCACAAATGTCAATAGGAAGTGAGAATAATGAGGTAAGAGGATTGCACATTTATGTAGTGATATCGATTATGCACTGACCAATGTGAAGCAAGATCAAACAACCTCCATGACTGACAAGGTGTTGGAAGGAACTTCATCCAGCAGTGGAAAAAAAACATGCTGTACCTAAATCCATCACAGGTGACTGAGGAGATGGTGAAGATCAATTTTCTCAATAATTAAGAGGGTAAAGTTTCAATGGACTAAATATATAGCACTTTGGAAGTATAGAGAAGTGTTTTATTCAGGTGCATGAAGAAGATGTTGGGTGCACAGGTTACCGAGACAAGCATAGGAGTAGGCACATAAGTAGGTGAGCAAGTGAAAGACCCAAAGCCAAATGGTGGAAGACTACAAGATCAGATCCCATGTGGTGACATTAATGGCAATGGCTGCGATAATCTCTTCGCCTTGCCCTTTAATGACGGTTAGTTTTGAAACTTCAAGTTTGCTGAATTTGTTGGGTCATTTGGTTTATGGTATTAAGAAATAGCACAAATCCCTGCACCTCAGAAATGTTTTAAAATATTTTAACAATGCTCCTCACTGTGGACCGTAACCCACACTGACCAACATGGTAATGTAAGAACAAACAACCCCCGCGACCTGCACAACCCCAGTAGTCAATTGACAAAGGGCTGTAAAACTTATTGGGGAAGGAAGCTTCACTTTGAAATTTGCTTTAGGGACATTCATGCTTCCTATTACACTAACTATTAGCTTGTGATACATTATGATGAAAGCGCAGCAGGATACATACACAGTGGGGATGTACTCCCCCGGGAAGGCGTTCGTCGTGTAGCTGATGAGGAGACACGTCTTACCAACGGCTCTGTTGGGAGAACATGCAATATATTGAGGCAAATGGTGCCACACAAGCGCACCCATTAAGATAGTGTTACAGCACACACACGCGCACCAAAGCCAGGTAATTATTTACACAGCATTTTACAGGCAATGTGAAGCAATCTGGTTTGGTTCATTAACCAGGCAACATGACTTGGCCCAGTTTTCCATGGTAAACTTTACCTGGCCGACCGAACATGGGTTCTGAGCCTTCTTTCTCACATATACTCCTCTGTTCCACTGGCACATCCGAGCCAAGCCAGGGCACTCATGGGTGTGAGGCTGTCTAATGGCCAATTGCCGTGCGGAACCAAACCACGATACCCTGGCACCAAAACACATCCGAATCTGGCTCGCGGCCGAGCCGGGCGAATGTTAAAGATAAATCTAGCTAAATATCCGGAAATATTGAAATACATTCCAGCGGTGATCGTGGCCAAGGCTGGAACCTGGGATCAATGTCACACACAGTTCTCTACACACATACAACAGCCATTCAACATGCGAAGACACAAACACGATCAACTCAACAAAAATATATGGAACAAAGACATACAAGACATAACAAAACCACACAACATATGGAAAAAAGGCACACAACACAACCAGTACCCAGATACACAGTACACATACAATACACACATGGGACACGGACACACACACATACGCACAAACATTATACAACATAAAAACCAATGTAATACAGTCCATGCAACACACTTGAACACGGGTACACGATACAATTCAGTGCATAAACATAAACCAACCATAACCTTTAAAACAAAAAAGACCCCGCTCGCTGGGCCGCGCCCTTCTTAGGCCCCTCATCACTTGCCTCGTAGCCCCTACCGCCACGAACCGCTCGCTCTGGGCGGGAAGCTTAGGCAAGACCGAGGCTGCAGCCCGCACAAGGCCCTAACCAGGCCGGAGTTAAACCGCACCGTACTCACCCGTCTCCCACGACGACGCACTTAATCGCCTGCATCTTGCCTGCGTTCTTGCTCCTTATTTTTAAGTGGGGAAGGAAAAAAACCAAGCAGAATTAAGCGTTACGTGTTTTGAAGAAGAAAAAAAAACGGAGCAGTCAATGAGCCGCACTCATCCGCCCACGGAACGGAGGTTGCGAGCCGACGCCTAGAGCCGGGCGCGGGGCGGGGCTCTGTTGAGTGTAGCCACGCCCCCGTGCGGGAGGCCCCGCCTCTGTGTATTAGACCACGCCCCGTCTGCGCTGAGTCAACGTCAATAAACATTTCGATTTAATTGCTGCAGTCACGAAAGCTCCAAACTAAATTCATCTTCTTGGTTCTTTCGGTAAAGTCACGTAGAATGGAAATAAAAAAATAAAAAAAATACTATTATTTTATTATTTCCATTCTACGTGACTTTACCAAAAGAACCAAGAAGATGAATAAATATTCTTAGGTTTTTTTCGGTAGGTTTTTTCGGTAAAGTCACGTAGGTAAAAAAATTAAATTAATAAAAGTAACTTGATACAACTATCGTGCTGTGACGGTTACCCCTAAAGACGGAAGCTTGTGTTGCCTCCGAAACGTCGTGATTTTTATTTTATTTTTATTTTACTTTTATGAATTTAATTTTTTACCTACGTGACTTTACCGAAAAAACCTAAGAATATGAATCATTGCAGTCACGAAAGCTTCAAATCTATAACGTCAATAAACATTAGCATTTCCATTAAAGAACACGTGGCTCTGCAGAAGGGTCATTTCCCGAAACGTCGCCTGGGATGTTTTTTGTTTGTTTATTTTATTGTAAGGCCACTTTTCGATTCTAAACTTTCGTGACTGCAGGGATTCATCTTCTTGGTTCTTTCGGTAAAGTCACGTAGAATGGAAATAATAAAATAATACAAATAAAACATAATAAAATAATTCTCACGACGTTTCGGCCACAACGCAAGCAGCCGTCTTCAGGTGGAGAACAGGTCTGTCGAGAAGGCAGTCTCATTCAGTCTGTCGAGAAGGCAGATTCAGACTCTGCCTTCTCGACAGACCAGTTCTCCACCTGAAGACGGCTGCTTGCGTTGTGGCCGAAACGTCGTGAGAATCATTGTATTATGTTTTATTTTTATTATTTTATTATTTTCCTTCTACGTGACTTTGCCGAAAGAACCAAGAAGATGAATCTCTGCAGTCACGAAAGCTTTAAATCGAAAAAAAAATATTTTCAATCTACATTTTAAAGTGCATAGCTCAGAAGCGCATCTGAAAGCACGCGATGCGGTGACCATTGTCTTTGTTCAATGGCCAGCCAAAAGCAGCTGCTGAGAGGATGACCACAATTCGTGTGGTGGTTGTGCTCCTTTAAGTCACGTAGAAGGGAAATAATAAAATAATAAAAATTAAACAATAAAATTCTCACGACGTTTCGATTTCAACACAAGCAATCACCATCAGGTGTGAAAACCACAGCAAGAAAATGTTGAAAAAGTGGCAGGTTTTTTTCACACCTGATGGTGATTGCTTGTGTTGAAATCGAAACGTCGTGAGAATGTTATCGTTTCATTTTTCTTATTTTATTATTTCCCTTCTACGTGAATTTACCGAAAGAACCAAGAATAAGCGTAGTCATATTAATGATGATGATTCATAGCAACCCGATAACTCATCAGAGAGGTAAAAAAATAAAGTACAAGCTGGAAAAAACTCCCCATGGAAACAAAACAGATATTGTAAGAACGCGATGAAAAAAAATCGCACCAATTCATGAAATTGAATGGTTCAACCCCTCCTGGGAGTGCCGGACAAACCCTGGGGGGTGCGTCTCTCGATTCTTGAGAACTGGTCTAACAATATATATATATATATAACACGGGTCTTTGTGTTTGTGAACTCAGTTGGGGACTCATGGTCAACTCGACATGACGGAGATTAAATGCATCGTTGTTGGCGACGGGTGAGTTTTCACCATCGTAATTATTTCCGTGAATTATAAGAGAGACAGACGAGACGAGAACAGGGTTGACACAACAAAGTAGTTTAAAGGAAGTGTTTTTTTTATTGTTATCATTGTGCGTTCATGTATTACCTGCTTTTATTATCATCCCCTTCATGAGAAAGCCTTTATTAAATATTAGAAGCCGAGGAGGTGAGAACAAGTTTGAGGGTTTTGGGAATTGTTGTTCACCTGATAATGAAGAGCAAGAAACCAATGTGCATTAAGAAGTAAGTACGCGATGAGTGTATACTTACCTTAACTCTAGATACTGCACGCTCTTGGAATGCAGAAACAAAAGCTTACATATTAACGGAGACAAAATATTAACCATCAGATTTGCTGATGACAACGTCATTATAGCATTCAATGGGAACGGGCTCCAGGAAATGTCAGAGTAACTCAATATTCTATTGTGTATGGCGATATGTTCAGGAGTTAAGTGATAACGAGCCAAATGGCTCACAGGGTAAATCCTAATAAACGAAACTGAAACTGAGAGTTCGTGTAGTTTTGCTGTTCCTCCATTAGCACCCTTGTTTACTAAGAAAAGCACACCCTCTCAATGTGTTGCTTTTAGTGTAATGTAATTCTAATCTGTTAACATTTAAATGTTCCTCGGGATTTCACCTTTTTATTTGTATATTTGTCTGTACAGTAGTTCAATACTATGACTCAGTCGTTCAACACGGTCCTCAGACACCAGGAGGAACAGAAACAGTTCCTTCTTCGAGTGTTCGAGAAGCATCGTCAGTAATATACGAACGCAAAGAAGTCCAACATTGTCCAAAAAATTCGCAGTGACATTTATCTGGACTGTCATAAATGATCAACCAGTATATTTTTGGGGATTTTTTTTAAACTCGCAGTGCTTCAGATTAACAAGCAAATTAATAAAACCAGGACACGTGCCTTTGAAGATAGCAAGCTTTAATTTTGAGTGGCACCCTAATTGACCCATTCAAAAATTCGAAGGAGGCATCACAGTTATACACTCCACTACTCCTGACGCAATTGTCTGGCTGAACCACCTCATTGTAGAATTATAGTTGTTGCTCTTTATCAACATAAGCATTGCCAAGTTTGTTTGAATATAAACATCAGGAAAACGAAGGTTATGTACGACAAGTTCGCTGACAATCGGAGATGTATGTCGGAGGAACACAGCCGGAAAACACAGCAGAATAGGTATTCATTGGACAGCGATTGAGGCTAGACCAGGGAAAATATCATGCCAGAAAGATCCAGACCAAGAGCAGGTTGGAGTGCTTTTGTAAAACGAAACCAACTAATGAAAAACATAGAATGTGTTAATCAGTCCATATTTCATGGCATGACATTGATCATAACGTGGAAATTTATAACAAAAATGAAACAAAAACTGAAAAGTGCGCAAAGACGCTTGGAAATGTGCACGCTTGCAATTACTTTGAGACACAGAAAAGGAACTGAGCTGCTCTGAGCCGAGTTCTCCAGGAGTCAACACTTTGTGGTGACACCAGCTTATCTGTTTCATCAGAACAGTGGATGATGCACTCCAACCATGATCGCTTTGGTAGTGGGTTGTGACTTGCTTCTAGATTTGAAGCTTTCGTGACTGCAAGGATTCATACTCTTAGTTCTTTCGGTAAAGTCACGTAGGTAAAAAAATTAAATAAAAATTAATAAAAAATAAAACAATAAAAAATAAAAAAATCACGACGTTTCGGAGGCAACACAAGTCTCCGTCATCACGTGACTTTACCGAAAGAACTAAGAGTGTGTGACTTGCTTGTTCACCAGTGGCCATGTTCAATCAGTTTTCACCTGCACCATACAGTACAGTCAGAAATCATCATTGCTTTGATGCAAAACCTGAATTCATCTGTCAGTACTTTGGTTACACATTCACGGCAGCAGGGAGTTACAACCCAAAAGCAAAACTAACATTCATAAAGGGTAAAATTCATCTTAACTAATCTTAACTAATTTAAGGGGAGGTACTGCAGGTGAATAGGGAAAACAAATTCCTGTCCTTTTATCAGAATGAAAAATTACCAGATGAATATACACAAAAATCTAAAAATCTAAGATTTGTGTGTATTGTGAATTCCACCCCATTCATTTATGCATAGTATGTGCTATCTCATTAAATATGCAGAAATTTACATATTATGTAAACACAATATTGACTTAGTAGATGAAGTCAGAACTTTTTGGTTTGTTTTAATGTGATCAATAACTAATTGGTTGGTAATCTACAGAGGCTTTTGTTAAAATATTGTTCTTTCAGTTAATTATGTTAAAATACACTTTAACATGTTAAAAAACAAGATTTTCACAATGCCAATTCTGGCATTGTGATGCAAGTAGAAATGATATTTGAGAGTTATTCCTGTGTTCCTCCTCCTATTGCCATGACAGCAAAGTAAATAGCCATATGTGACTAAGCTAGACGTCTGCTCCAGAGAATAAGCTTTTCACTGATATGCAATTCAACTAGGTTATTTCTTAACATGCGGAGATAAATTGAAAGTTTACAATTTGTAGAAGCAAAATATTTAAAAAAATATCAAATTTGACAAACTGAACAAAAATAAAATAATAAAAATAAAACATAATAAAACAATTCTCACGACGTTTCGGCCACAACGCAAGCAGCCGTCCTCAGGTGAAAACCAGGTCCGTCGAGGCGACAGAGTCTGAATGAAACAGCATGAAACAGCATTCAGACTCTGTCGCCTCGACGGACCTGGTTTTCACCTGAGGACGGCTGCTTGCGTTGTGGCCGAAACGTCGTGAGAATTGTTTTATTATGTTTTATTTTTATTATTTTATTACTTCCCTTCTACGTGACTTTACCGAAAGAACCAAGAAGATGAATCCCTGCAGTCACGAAAGCTTTAAATCGAAATTGAACAAAAATAATTATTTTTGCCTGTAGTACATGGCCTTGACTAGTAATCTTAACAGGTACATTAACAAGTTAGCACTTTAGATATCTTTACTGAACAGAAATAATACAGAACCACCAGTACTTGCCTCACCTGCCAGTCAATGATCATGAGCACACAAGCCGCTAGAAACAGAAGGAAAACAGAGAGCGCCAATCTATTCCAGACTTCACTAAGTCACTGAAATTGAAGAACAAGCGTGAATGAATGGAAGAATATGTATGAAATACATCCCTTGGGGACAAACATACATTTTGTAATTTATTGTCTTAATTATCAGCAGAGGTGTTGGAATGCTTTCTTTGTAACCTCGGGGCAAATAGGCGTGATTACGATAGGTGCAAAAACAGGTTTCCTGCGAGAAAAATTAAAACAGCTGCTCAGTTGGAAAGGTTATCATGTATTATTTTACTTCTGTTGATGTAACAAATAAAATGGCACCGTTAAAGTTTTGCCACCTTGGGTGGTGCCCATATCTGGTCTGACCCGAGGACTAAGCCTGGTGCAAATGATTGGCATGCGTCTGTGGATTGTGAACAAACTTGTTTTCTTGCAGTCCCCAGTGACGGATGGTCTGCATGGGATTTTAGGTGACACCCCACCTAAAATGTTGTTATAAGTTATTTTTAAATATATATTTATTTTATGTAGAATAAAACACAGCTATAACAGCTCCCATTTAAATGTTAATACCAATCGGCGAATTCAAGTATATATTTTTGATGTAAGTGTATTATCATAAAATTGTTTCAAACTAAACATAAATATGGGTCGCCTGGTCTCACCGCCCCAATAATTTCGGTTTCTCTCATTGGTCGATTCAACCCACTCCCACTGAGTGCAGTGCTACGGTGACCAGATGTTAACTACCTCGCCTGGTATACAGGATGGCGGTGGGTTCAATCCCGAGCCTGATGCCTGTATATTTGGAGTTTGTATGTTCTCCCCGTGGTCACGTGGATTTTTTCTCCGGGTCCTCTGGGTTTTCCTTCCACTTTTATAAATATACTTTTAGAATATGTGGCTGTTATAAATTTCCACGTGATAAACCACTCCGTTGAGTTATCATTTGTGGCGAGGTCGCTTTTGAAAAAGAGCTATATAGCTCAGTAGGCTTTACCTGGTAAAATAAAAAAAAACTGTTAAAATCTGAATACAGTAAGACCTTGGATTGCGACTAACTTGGTCTGCGAGTGTTTTGCAAGACGAGCAAATTTTTTAATAAATATTAATTTGATAAACGAGCGAGGTCTTGCAATACGAGTAGTACGTGTTTACGCTTTGTCTGCCGAGCGTCACGTGATCACAACTGATACACGAGTGCTTTGGATTACAAACACGTTTCCGGAACGAATTATGCTCGCAATCCAAGGTTTTACTGTAGTTTAAAGTGGCACAATGAAGCCCCTGGCTAATACAAGCCGCTGTTCCAACTTAATTTTCAAAGGGACGGCCAAACAGGTCCCTGCGGGGTGGGCTGGTAGGAACGAATAACCAAAGAATATAAACATAATGTATTATTACACTTCTTCTTGGTTCTTTCGGTAAAGTCACGTAGAAGGGAAGTAATAAAATAATAAAAATAAAACATAATAGAACAATTACCGAAAGAACCAAGAAGATGAATCCCTGCAGTCACGAAAGCTTTAAATCGAAATTATTATTACACTTGTTTAGCCAGGAAAGCGTCACTGAGTCTAAAGGTTTTTGTAGGGTCCTGCCAAGTGTTTGCAGTAGGGGGCGATGTTGCTACACGGACAGACGGACGATATAATCTATTGTAGGCTGGTTCACTTCGTTCCTACCAGTATAAACTCATCCTTCTAACGCCCCCTCCCACCTACGGCGCCGGCACCGCCCCACCAAACATTTGAGAGGCCAGCTGCCACCGGCATTAAGGGTAAAGTCAAGAAAAATGCACACATTTTTCGAATTCACCAGTTATTTGCTGTGTGTGCGGCACATGTGTGGGTGTTATGAGAGACAAGCACGTCGGCTGTGGTGCTTTCCTGCCGCACCACCCTAAACAGGGGATGCCATAGGCAAGAATAGAACTGGGGATTTTGTTTTTTGTCTTGTGTGATCGTAAGTCGTCGTTCTTTTGCAGATACGTGGGTAAGACATGTCTGCTCGTCGCCTACACGTCTGACGTCTACTCGCAACAGAACTTCCTCCCCTTGTACGTGAACCCAGCCCTGGTCAGGGCCAGAAGCGCACTCAGATAGACATTTCGGAGGGGGCATTGTTTTCCTACCACAGGTCATTTTGCCCACGCGTGCACGTGTGTATGTATTTTTATTTGCATATGTGACCGTGCGTAGGTATGTATTTGTCACTCTTTGTGTCTGTGTGTATGTATGTGCGGTGCGATAATGTAATGGTGAGCGCACTGCGCTCCGAACTCCACGACCCGAGGTCGATTTCGGTGACGAATATCTGAACCCGTTCTGGGCCTCCTCTAGGTCGATTGGGCCTTAAATCAGTACCTGGTGAGGTGTGTAAACATTAGCACTGGGAAGACAAAGGCGGACGGGACGTGGTATTGGGTACCCCCCCGGTGTGCCGTGCCAGCCTTTATTTAGGTGCTACTCGCTAAAAACATTTGTAACAACCGTCTGTTAAAGGCTATATGGGGGATCTTTGTTCAGAGACACAGTTAGAGGTATTCTTAGGTTTTTTCGGGAAAGTCACGTAGGTAAAAATAAAGAATAAATACAATAATAATATAAATACCTTTATTATTTATAATTAAAAAAATAGAAATAATAATAGAAATAAAATTATTATTTATAATAATTTAATTTCTATTATTATTTCCATTATTTATTTGTTATTATTTATAATAATTTTATTTCTATTATTAGTTCCATTATTTTATTTGTATTATTTATTTTTACCTACGTGACTTTACCGAAAAAAACCTAAGAGTATGAATCCTTGCAGTCACGAAAGCTTCAAATCTAGAACAATTAGAGGACTCTGGGTGTCGCGCCAGCCACAGTACTGGATATGGGAAATGCAGGTATGTGATTAGTACTACTTATGCCCGTGCATTATGCAGGATTAGCAGCATCAAAGGGAGGGGATATGGGAAATGCACATGGGAAATGCATATCCCCTCCCTTTGATGCTGGTAATCCTGCATAATGCACGGGCATAAGTAGTACTAATCACATACCTGCATTTCCCATAAATATGCTAAATTCCTCTTGATATGCAAATTATTTTATCAAGGCGTCCTTTCCCCCCCTTCCTACCCAGCTTAAATATATGCTCCAAGCATGGTGTTGTTTCATTCAGACGCTGTCGCCTCGACAGACCTGGTTTTCACCTGAGGACGGCTGCTTGCGTTGTGGCCGAAACGTCGTGAGAATTATTTTATTATGTTTTATTTTTATCATTTTATTACTTCCCTTCTACGTGACTTTACCGAAAGAACCAAGAAGATGTTTTTTTACCCTTTTATCTGGCAACAAAACTGACACCTTTTTTTTTACAAAGAGTCATGTTTGCATAGACCACAATACCTGCAGTCAAAATGCAAACAAAAAACATAACTCTGATAATGTATGCACTGTCCTTGAAGTTGATTGGTCCACACCCGAGACAGCTTCCCTTAGAGCCTAGTCTCACATGGTGTTGGACCAGATGACGCCAAAAGGCGCAAGCACGTTTATTGAAAATATACGTGCGTACTCTTAGTTCTTTCGGTAAAGTTACGTAGGTAAAAAATTAAATAAAAATTAATAAAAATAAAACAATAAAAATCACGACGTTTCGGAGGCAACACAAGCTTCCGTCTTCAGGTGAAACCGTCACAGCAAAATATCTGTACCTTATATAGTGGTTAAGGGGGGAGGAGCCAGGAAGGGCAGCGGGGAAGGAGGAGTTGTGAAGTGGTTAATAATTTTGATTAAATTTTTTACCTACGTGACTTTACCGAAAGAACTAAGAGTATGAATCCTTGCAGTCACGAAAGCTTCAAATCTAGAATATACGATCGTGCCAAACTAACACGCGGTACGACCCGAAAACACATTGCAGAACAATGTTGCCGGGCTTGTCTGAAACAACTAGCCTTAAACTGCTGTTGCTGGTACTGTAATAATTTAATGGGCTGTGTCATTTTCATTGCCAAGGTTTAACAGCTTCTATGCCAACGTAACGGTGAATGGCGACCTGTTCAACCTACACCTGATTGACACACCAGGAATAGAGGAGTATGATCGCCTGCGTTCTATTTGCTACACGAACGTCGTGAGTGTTACCCCCACATAACGCTCGCTTTTCAGACGATTATATCAACTTCTAACTCGGAACAGTATTCACTGATCCTCGTAAGTCACCACCGCCGCCCACGTAAACAAATGTTTCCCTTGTGTGTCACGTGAACATGAAGTAAAACACTTTGGTTACGTGATCTTTGACCGTAACTTTGTTAAATTCAAACGTGGCAAACCTAATGTTTATGAACTGCAGGAAAAGGCTTTGAAGAACTCAAGAATGAAGGCTGCAAAGTTGGGATGGAGATACATATGGGCAAAACAAAAGTCGTGTTAAACATGTTTGCTGAACAAACTGAAATTATTATTTGCCGGGTTTGTTTGAAAAAAACACGCCTTTGGAAAACTATCTAGGAAAGTAAAACCAACTGATACCAAAATAACCTTCAGGACCTCCCCAAGTCAAGATTAACGTTCCACAACCCACTTCGGGATTTTATTCTTGCGTATGACGGCAACATGTTCAAGAGCTAGATGCCAATGTCGAGACAGCTTCAGGAGAGAGTCCGTGTAGTTTTGCTCTTCCAAGCTCTCAAAGTTCCCACGTTCAACCCTGAGGCTCGGTGAATAGCTTGGGAAAATACCAACGTTGCTAACTCGCACTTAATCATCAACCCCAACGAAAAACCCCACCGTTTTCAAGTAACCCCACAAACCATACCATGTATTGAATTACATCAGAACATCGCAATGCAGATGTATGTATGTTGAACTTCTTTAACATCGTACGTAGCCAACCGTGCTAATCGGAGGTGCGGGGAAAGACAACATCACCCACAGCGATGGATAATAATGAATAGCCCACGGTGCGATCGCGGTGTGCAATATCAAACCACAGACCACATAGTAACACAAGCGCCTGCTTCGACCATTCACCGGCAGAATTTCAGATGTTGACCAGGCTGCTCCTGAAGCCAGCTGTCCACCGGCTCATCCACCAACCTCAACATGAACATATAAACACTGGATGTTACCAAAACATTAACAACCTACGCTGCATTCTCCTACATTACTTTTTAAAACGTTCTCAATTACTAATTGTGTTTGTCACCTTGCTCTGAACAGGACGTGGTTCAGATCTGTTTCTCTCTAGAGAACCAGTCTTCATTTGACAGCATCCATGCCAAGGTGAGCGGAGGCTTTAATAGCCGCAATATATGCCAAACAAACTCACCACTGCACTAAGAATGATTTCAAACAGCTGCGATTGAGACAAACAGCACCGGTGCTTTGTACTATGACATATGATTCGGTAACATGGCCATTAACCAAACAAAATGGGACAAAAAACTGAAGTGTGCAAATAATGAATATGCTTTGGTTCTTTCGGTGAAATCACGTAGATGGAAAATAATAAAATAAAAATAATACAAATGAAAAAAGAAAAAATTCGTTTAAAAAACGACGTTTCGACCACAACACAAGCGGCCGTCTCTCCACCTGATGACGACCGCTTGTGTTGTGATCGAAAAGTCCTGAGTTTTTGGTTTTGATGAATTTGTTATATTTTTTATAATTTTGATAATTTTTATTTTCTTATTTACGATCTACATGACTTTACCGAAAGAACCAAAGAATATGAATTCCTGCAGTCACGAACGTTTTAAGTAAAAATTTGTGCAAATAATTGAGAGATGTTAAGGAAAGGGCTTGGAGCCAGAGAGAGAAGCAAGTGGGCACTCACTGATTAGCGTAGATGCACAAACCCTTATCTATACAGATCACGTGACGACCACGGTTTTCGCAAAGCATCATCGTGTTCTTCTCACATTTAAATAATATAAAGGTGCAGCCCTGCAATTGATTATTTACGCCACTGCTTCCGAAAGGTCCTCCACTCGAGTAAGCTCTCAAGCGCTCTTGAGAACTTCCATGCTGGCTATACATTTTGGATGGGAGTATCACACCTTACCCCACGACATGCAACCTACCGATTGACTATGGTGTATCCATTTATACTGCTTGATAGACAGAGGGGATATTTCAGAAAATTGCCCCATTGTTTTAACTGCTGTGCCATGAGATTAAATTGAAATGGCAACCTCCAGATTGTCCAGTGCGATAAACATGATACCACAGCAGCATCATACATTGAAATATAACCTAAATGAATATGACGATGCTGTGATGGCTTTGTCGTTGGACTTCCAGTGGTACCCAGAGGTGCGCCACCACTGCCCCACGGCTCCCATCATCCTGGTTGGCACTCAACTCGACCTCCGGGACAACAAGGAGACTGTGGAGAAGCTCAGTCGGAAGATGCTTCCGCTCATCACCAACGAGCAGGGCCTGGCCTTAGCGAAGAAGATTGGTAGCCACTAATTCACCATGCCACTATTATTGTAATTTGTTTAAAGTTGGGATATTCGATATTTAAGTAATCCGTTACTCTATTGATTGTTAGTTCAATCATCCGATTAATCGATAAAGTGTGTTAGAAAAAAATGTCTCACTTCTGTTCCCGCATGTGCCGCTGGATGAGAAGTGATGGGCGGGATTTGATGATGTCATTAGCATCATCATCTGTGTCGTGCTGGGCGTGGCTTGTAGGGGTTGCCTGCCTTCGTGAGGCAGAACGTTAAGCCGTTTGTAATTTTTATAGGAGCCTAAGTAATAAAAAAAAAGGATTCGATTACAATTTGTCATTGGTTCATCTACTAATCGTCCCAGCTCTACATTTCTTAAAGTGGTGCTCAATTTGCAGTGCAAATCACGGCGACTCTGCAGTTTCCATTTTGCAACATAATTGCACATAACTGAACCATTTCCGCATAGGCTGAACTGTGAAATGCTTCTAGGTCTAGAACCTTGTCTCGTGGAGGCCTATTTCGCCAGCAGTGGTGTAAGCAAACAATGGCAGGGCTACACCTTTAACACATTTCATAATTAAACGGACGTCGGTTATGCTGGAAGAGCTTAAGACCGGAAACAGGAAGACTTCTTCACAATTCTAGCAAATCGCCTGATGAAGTTGGTTGTAATCACCAGTTAAACGTCGTATTCAAATTGTAAACGTTGTGAGTTTACGCTTCAACACACCGGTGTGTGCTGAAGTAGTAACTAATTGACACGTTTGTTTGCGTGACAAACCTTACTATTTGGTTGTCGGGTGGTGGTGGGTTAACGACGCATTTATATCCACGCGATCTAACCCAAAAATCTTTATAATGAATAATATCGCTCGCGAAAGACCACACGTTAAACAGCGTTTGTGTGTGGCGTCTGTGCAGGGGCGGTCAAGTACGTGGAGTGCTCGGCACTCACCCGGAGTGGCATCAAGACCGTATTTGACGAGACCATCAGTGCAGTGCTGTGTGACCCACCTGCCATGAAGCCCAAGTCCAGGAGTTGCTGCAGGCTACTTTGAGAAAAAAAAACGCTCGTCACGAGGTGGCCACGAGGCTCAGGGGTCAAAGTGCTGAGCTTAGAGGTCACTTCTGATATGGTGCACGGGCCAGAGAAGAAATTGGTACCGCATTTACTTACAAGGCCAATACGAGTGAATAATTTGATCATCCCCTCGTATAAGATTGTGATTTTATAATTCACTCTTGTTGACCACATACAGATATTGGAACTGCGAAAGTTATTCGACCCCAGGAGATAACGATAAGTAAATCAGCTATGATATTATAGATGTGAATCCAGGTTTCAGCCACTTGTGATTAAACCGAGCTTCTGAAGTGTAGTGAGTTTCTGGCCTCAGCAGACTCACCAATGACGACTGCACACACAAAGATCTCGTTAGAAATCTGGTTGTGCAACTTAGTTTGGCGAGTTTCCAACCCTGGTCATGCAGAATATCACGTGACAAACATTACTCCTGTAGAAGGAGTGTATGTATGTTGAAATTATTTCGCACCGTACGTAGCCAACCGCGATATTTGGAGTGGGAAAGTGCTGCCCCCTAGTGTGTGAATAACAGCTCTCTGGGATACACCTCAGAGGCAGTGACGTGCACTTGCGTGGATTGTTCTCGAAATGCGAACGGTTGCCCTGCTCTTGAGAGTGTACTGAATGTATGCGTTGTCTCGTGGCATGGCAACAATAGCACATACTCTTAGTTCTTTCGGTAAAGTCACGTAGGTACAAAATTTAATTAAAATTAATAAAAAATAAAAACAATAAATAATTATTAATTTTAATTTCATTTTTTACCTACGTGACTTTACCGAAAGAACTAAGAGTATTAATCCTTGCAGTCACGAAAGCTTCAAATCTAGAAACAATAGGACAATTAATGTTGTCTTGCTGCTCTAAGATCGGGTTTGGTTGTTGTTGTGAAGCTGCCCCATCACTATCCCGACTGTCCCTACCCCACCAACTGCTGTGCACACTCTCCCCCCACCCCTTCCACAACACCACCACTGTTTAACACGTGGTAGGCTTTCACGACCAATATCATCCATAATAGAGGTTTTTGGGGTTAGATCGCGTAAATATATAAATGTGTCGTTAAAACCCGCCACCACCCAACACAGCCAACTAGTAAGGGTTGTCACGTAAACAGAACGTGGCCAATTCGTCACTCTTACAGCACTAGTGTGTAGTGTATAGTGTAGTGTATAGTAGTGTATAGTAGTGTAGTGTATAGTGTAGTATACTAGTAGAGCACACCGGTGTGTTGGAGTGCCAAGCCACAACATTTACAATCTTAGTACGACGTTTCGCCAGTAATTACAACTAGCTTCATCAGGCGACAGCAAGATTTGTGGAGAAGTCCTCTTGTTTCGTTCCTTATATAGAGGCGTAGATGTGGTGACCACGCTTCTGCGCTCTTGCGCAAACTGGGGGGGGGGGGGGGGGGTCAACTTACATTGTGCATGTGCATTATGCGAGCCCTTTGATCTTGTCCTTCGTGTCCGTTGTATAGGGGGTGCTATATATTAAAGTAGCCGTACCAATGGTAATCCCTATTTAAGTACGCTGCCTTTGTAGGCATGCATTTAAACAATGTATTATTTGATGATTCGCTTCCACGCAGCACTTAAGGCGGTCGCTATCCGAACGGTTAAAATTATTTTCATTTCTTTCAATTTCGATATATTCTCTAATTAGTCTTGGCCAGTCGTAGCTAGTTTTACACACAACTTTAACATTATCAAAAGAAATTGAGTGTCCTTGTTGGCACGCGTGTTCTGCTACTGCTGACAGTTGGATTTTGGAGTATTTAATATTTCTCTGATGTTCTTTAATCTCGTGCTAATCATTCGTCCTGTTTACGCAATATAACATTTGCTTCGGTAATACATCTTTTGTACCAGATATTAATTTCTGTATTCTATGTACCATGCCAAATCTGACTCAGATATTTTATTTTTCCAAACGTCTGGCTAGTTTATCAGTTACTCCTGCAATGTATGGTATTTTGATCTGAAGGCAGTCACACCATCGCCCCACACAGAAATCTGCTCTTATCAAGACGCTCATTCATCGACCTAAGAAAGTGTCAGATTGTGAGAGTCTGAAAAGTGAAATTCAACATGTTAAAGAAGCGCTGCAAATGAACGGATACAATGGTGCACGAATCAACAGGGCTTTGACTACCAAAACCAAATCAAATAACACGAGCATTGAAACTGCCCAAGTAATTCAAACGATCAAAATACCATGTTGCGTGGAAGCGAATATTCAAATAATACAATGTTTAAATGCAATCCTATAAAGGGATTACCGTTGGTACGGCTATTTTAGTACACACAATGAACAGGAAGGACAAGATCAAAGGGCTCACACAATGCGCATGCATAATGTAAGTTGACTCACCCCCCCCCCCCCCCACTTTGCACAAGAAGAACACACAAGTGTGGTCACCACATCTACGCCTCTATTTAAGGAACGAAACAGGTGGACTTCTCCACGAATCTGGCTGTCGCCTGATGAAGCTAGTTGTAATTACTGGCGAAACGTCGTAATCAGGTTGTAAATGTTGTGGCTTGGCTCTCCAACACACCGGTGTGCTCTACTAGTATACTACACTATACACTACACTATACACTACACTATACACTACACTATACACTACACTACTATACACTACACTATACTACTATACACTACACTATACACTACACACTAGTGCTGTACTAGTGACGAATTGGCACGTTCTGTTTACGTGACAACCCTTACTAGTTGGCTGTGTCGGGTGGTGGCGGGTTTTAACGACACATTTATATATTTACGCGATCTAACCCAACAAACACCACTACTGCCCCACTACAACACCTACGCCGTGTCCGGGGAAAGCAAGGCATACACAGAAAGATCCAGCGCCTAAAAATATTGAAGGGACGGTCCCTAAAATGGGAAGGTGCAAAGCCGAAAGAGGAAGAGGAGGAGCCTAAGCAATAAGGGGGCGTGGCATAAAGAGGAAGGAGCGGGGCCTAAAGTGGTTCAACTGCCCTCCTGATTTAAGGCAATAAGAGAAAAATAATTGAAAAATCCGTGCAGTAGGCAGCACGCACCTTTAGTGCCGTAGATGTGGCCACAGGCCAACAAGTCAGAGTAACATTGAGGTAGAATTACTTTAAAAAAAAACCTTTGGCAAGCGCGACGTGTAATGCTGCTGTTCAATCTGCCCCACTTGCGTCTGTTTTGTTACATTTTGTGTTTGTGTTTCATGTGTTTTTGTGGGTTGCTATGGAGATGCACCTGTGTTTAAATGCTATGTAAATTAAAACGGTTATTAGAATAAATTGTAATTTTGTATTTTATTTGGTGGCTAAATAACCGAGCTGTCAGTTTAACCTGGAGGCTTTTGCGATCAATATTATCCATGATTTGAAGCTTTCGTGACTGCAGGAATTACTCTTTGGTTCTTTCGGTAAAGTCACGTAGAAAGAAAATAACATGCTCTTTGGTTCTTTCGGTAAAGTCACAAAGGTAGAAAAATGTAATAAAACAAAAATAATATATCACGACGTTTCGATCGCAACACAAGCGGTCGTCCTCAGGTGGAAAAAATAATCCAGCAGTGGAACTGCTGAACCACACAGAGTGCCTATGTTGTGTGTTTGTTTCTGTGTGTCTCTGTGTTGTCTCTCTCTGCTTGTGTGTCTGTCTGTGTGTCTCCGTGTTTGTGTTTTGTCTCTCTCTAAACTTTAATTCTACCTGATGACGACTGCTTGTGTTGCAATCGAAGCGTCGTATTCTATTATTTAATTTATTTTCTTTCTACGTGACTTTACCGAAAGAACCAAAGAATATTATCCATCATAGAGGTTTTTGGTTTGGATCGCATAAATATAGTAAACCCACAAAAAAAATTCTCACCGGTGTGCTGTACGAGTAAAGAATGGGCATGTTTTGTTCACGTGACAAACCTTAATAATTGGCTGTGATGGGTGGTGGCGGGTTTAACGACACATTTATATTTACGCGATCTAACCCAAAAACTTCTATCTATATATATAAAATCGTGAATGTCTGTCTGTCTGTATGTGTGTGTGTGGATTTCGGACCATACGCACTTTCATTGGACGGCGGTTGCCCCTGCCAACGGCTAGCGACGCCTTCGCCGCTTTCATTGGACCTGGCAACGGCTAGCGACGCCTTCGCCAAGGGCTGCACTTTCATTGGACGGCGGTTGCCCCTGCCAACGGCTAGCCACGCCTTCGCCACTTTCATAGGCTTCGTAAATAATTAAATAATGGCCATTTCACAGTATTGTTCGAGCGCTAGGGGCGGGGGGAAGGAACGCCACCCGTACCCAGCGTTCGCCGGGTGGGAAAATCAGGCGAGGCGGGAGGCTCTGCACGGTGCTAGGCCTCGACACCCACCACGCCACTCTGAGGTAAATTCATACACATTTCACGTCCTCTACAGAGTGGTGAGGGAGGCAGAGTGGCGAGGGAGGGAGAGTGGCGAGGGAGGGACTCAGCCTCAAAACGAGTAACTGGTGTGGCGTATTAACATCGCCACTGGGGAGACAAAGGCGGCCGGCCGTGCTGGATCCAAGTCCCGGGCAAAGCCGGGTCATGTCTATGTGTGTATGTGTTTATGTGTATGTCTGTGCGTCTGTATGTATGTATGTGTGTATGTATGTGTGTGTATGTGTTTGTGTGTATGTATGTGTGTGTATGTATGTGGGTTTTTTTGTACGTGTTTATGTGTATGTCTGTGTGTCTGTATGTATGTGTCTATGTACGTGTGTGTATGTGTTTCTGTGTATGTATGTGTGTGTTTGTGTGTATGTCTGTGTGTATGTATGCGTGTGTATGTGTGTGTATGTGTTTGTGTGTTTGTATGTGTGTGTGTATGGATGTGGGTTTTTTTGTATGTGTTTATGTGTATGTCTGCGTGTCTGTATGTATGTGTGTATGTACGTCTGTGGATGTGTTTGTGTGTATGTATGTGTGTGTCTATGTATTGTGTGTATGTGTTTCTGTGTATGTATCTGTGTGTATGTATGTGTGTTATGTGTCTGTCTGTGTGTCTGCATGTATGTGTGTGTGTATTGTCTATGTTTTTGTGTGTATCTATGTGTGTGTTTGTGTGTCTGTGTATGTCTGTGTGTATGTATGTGTGTGTTTGTGTGTATGTGTGTGTATAGATGTGTGTGTATGTCTTTGTATGTGTTTCTGTGTTTACGCTCGCATTACACAAATGTGTTGCAGGTCTAAGGCGTTCCTCGCGCAGCATTGCCGCTTTCTTTTTTCAGTCGTTTACTGCCGTACGCACCCTGAAAGTCGTGTGTGTCTGCAGCAAGCGCGTGTATGTGTTCCTATGGACGCGCGCGCGTGTGTTGTGTAGGGGGAACGGTAGTGTAGTGCTTAGCGTGCTGTCTGTGTCTGTGTGTGTGTGTCTGTGTGTGTGTGTCTGTGTGTGTGTCTGTGTGTGTGCGTGTGTGGTGTGTGGGGAGCGGTAGTGTAGTGGTTAGCGTGCTGTCTGTGTGTCTGTGTGTGTGTGTCTGTCTGTGTGTCTGTGTGTGTGTGTCTGTGTGTGTGTCTGTGTGTGTGTGGTGTGTGACGAGCGGTGGGTGTAGTGCTTAACGCTACGCTGCGCTACAAACCCGGCGAACCGAGTTCCATTCCCGCTCACGGCCACCACCGGTGACGATTATTTGAACCTCCCCTAGGTCGACTCAGCCTCAAACGAGTAACTGGTGTGGCGTATTAACATCGCCACTGGGGAGACAAAGGCGGCCGTGCGTGAGTGGTGAGGGAGGGAGAGTGGTGAGGGAGGGAGAGTGGTGAGGGAGGGAGAGTGCTGAGGGAGGGAGAGTGGTGAGGGAGGGACTCAGCCGCAAAACGAGATAACTGGTGTGGCGTATTAACATCGCCACTGGGGAGACAAAGGCGGCCGGGCGTGGTGGATACAAGTCCCGGGCGAAGCCGGGTAGTACAGCTAGTTATAGATAACCAAGCTGTCCTTGTACACTCACCGCTTGAGCCAGTTGACATTTTTTTATGTTTCATAATCGCTATTTGGGTCAGGCCATGTAATGATCAAAGCAAATCTGTGTCGCGAAGAAATGTTAACCACCCGGCACAACGAAACAAATTAAATTCTAACGTGTTCAAGTGTTGGATAATTATTTTTTCAGCTCGCCTGTAAGTTGAATAAAAACCCTCAGAATTAAATGTAACAATTAGATACGTTTAGTTTTAAATCCCTCTTAGAACAATAGAATAATAGATGTAAATACTGTAATGAGATAGATCGATGTTCTTCACTGCAGGGCCCACGGGCCACTGGCAGTCCCTGGTGGCCTTTAGTGCGGCCCCTGACAATACACAAGTGTGAAAACACGACAGCGTGCCGTGAACCCCCAATGGTTTCAAATGAAGTGTTCAAACGCCAAGAAACACATTTCTCCTGCGGAGGGAGCTGGTAGGAACGTTGGGTTGCTCGGTCAATGGCCAGGGTCAACGGCGGCGTGGTGTATTCCGCAAATATGCCCGACTGTGAGGGCGGGCAACTACCTCGCCAGGTATGCAGGAGGATGTGGGTTCGATCTCGACCCTGACGATGTCTGCTGCTGTATATTTGTAGTTTGTGTGTCTGTCTCTCTCTCCCCGTGGTCGTGTTGATTTTTCTCAGGATCCTCCGGTTTTTGGCTCCACGTTTACAAACACGCGTTTAGAATATTTGGCTGCTATACATTTCCACATGATAAGCCCACTCCGTTAAGCCATCATTTGCGGCCAGGTCGCTTATGAAAAAGAGCTATGTAGCTCAGTGGGCTTTACCAGGTGAAATAAAATTGTTTCTAAATTAAATAACTAACATCACGCGTTTCGAGTATTTGGATGCTATAAATGTCCACATTATGATTTTAGGAAGCCACTTCGTTGAGCTATCATTTGTGGCCACGTCGCTTCTGCAAAAAAAAAAGTGGCTATACTGTACAGCTCAGTGGGCCTTACCTGGTCCAATAAAAAAATCAGTTTGAGTTTTAATTCCGGTCAGAGCGGATATCGGACGGCGGTCGGATATGCGACGTTTTGGTTCATTTGTGGCAGGCATCTGGCCCCTCCCCTCCCTCCCTGCCAGGCACTACCCCCCGCCCAAGTTCGCTGGCCACCTAAGCGCGCGGGGGGCGGGGCGTGGGGCCCTGTGGGCGGGGCGTAGGACCCTGTGGGCGGGGCGTAGGGCCTTGTGGGCGGGGCGTAAGGCCCTGTGGGCGGGGCGTAGAGCCCTGTGGGCGGGGCGTAGAGCCCTGTGGGCGGGGCGTAGGGCCCTGTGGGCGGGGCGTGAGACCCTGTGGGCGGGGCGTGATGCCCTGTGGGCGGGGCGTAGGGCCCTGTGGGCGGGGCGTGGGGCCCTGTGGGCGGGGCGTAGGGCCCTGTGGCGGGGCGTGGGGCCCTGTGGGCGGGGCGTAGGGCCCTGTGGGCGGGGCGTGGGGCCCTGTGGGCGGGGCGTGGGGCCCTGTGGGCGGGGCGTGGGGCCCTGTGGGCAGGGCGTGGGGCCCTGTGGGCGGGCGTGGGCCCTATGGGCGGGGCGTGGGGCCCTGTGGGCGGGGCGTGGGGCCATGTGGGCGGGGCGTGGGGCCCTGTGGGCGGGGCGTGGGGTCCTGTGGGCGGGGCGTGGGGCCCTGTGGGCGGGGCGTGGGGCCCTGTGGGCGGGGCGTGAGACCCTGTGGGCGGGGCGTGGGGCCCTGTGGGCGGGGCGTGGGGCCCTGTGGGCGGGGCGTGAGACCCTGTGGGCGGGGCGTGAGACCCTGTGGGCGGGGCGTGGGGCCCTGTGGGCGGGGCGCTGGGCTTGGGGGGCGGGGCCTGGGGGGGGGTCCTCTCTCTCTCGGTCGTTCGCTCGCGAGACGAGGAGGAAGCCAGCACATGGATGGCGTCCTCCCGGCAGAGGCGGCGCGGCGGCGCGGGCAGAGGGGACGGCGAGGGCGACGGGCAGCAGGGCCAGCAGGGGCAGCAAGGGCAGCAGGGGCAGGGCCCGACTGCCGTCCGGAGCGGCACGGGCCCAGCGCAGACCCAAGAGAGCGGGCGGCCCGCGGAGTGAGTGTGGGCTCAGAAGCGGTGCGCGTGGAGTGGTGGGGATGGCAGTGTGTGTGTGTGTTAGATTGCTTGGCGGTGTGTGAGCGTGTCAAATAGTGATTGTGCGTGTGAGAGAGGAAGTGTGTGTGGACGTGAGAGAGTGTGCATCAGTGAGTGTGTGCGCATTGTCATCCGACACGTGGTGTGAGTGATGTTGGAGTGTGAGACGTGGTGTGAGTGATGTGGTGTGCGAGTGAGTGATGGGGTGAAGGAGTGTGAGTGATGTTGGAGTGTGAGGCGTGGAGTCAGTGACATGGTGTGAAAGTGATGTAGAGTGGGACCATGGTGTGTGAGTGAGTGATGTGGTGTGAGCGTGATGTGGTGTGGTTGTGAGTGACATGGTCCATGTGAGTGAGTGATGTGGTGTGAGAGTGAGTGATGTGGTGTGAGAGTGAGTGACATGGGCCATGTGAGAGCGAGTGATGTGGTGTGAGAGTGAGTGATGTGGTGTGAGAGTGATGTGGTGTGAGCGTGATGTGGTTGTGAGTGACATGGTCCATGTGAGAGCGAGTGATGTGGTGTGAGTGATGTGGTGTGAGAGTGATGTGGTGTGAGCGTGAGTGACATGGTCCATGTGAGAGCGAGTGATGTGGTGTGAGTGAGTGATGTGGTGTGAGTGAGTGATGTGGTGTGAGCGTGATGTGGTGTGGTTGTGAGTGACATGGTCCATGTGAGAGTGAGTGATGTGGTGTGAGAATGTGAGATGTGGTGTGAGAGTGAGTGATGTGGTGTGAGAGTGGCTGTTGGAGGCCAATGCCCGTCTCTGGTTTCTGTTGTTGCGACACATCACTGGGCTGCAACTCATGTGCTCCACGTGGATTGTCTCGCCTCTAAATAACAATTGCCCACGCCATCATGTCCTTGACACATTTGCACCCATTGACTTGAGCTCTGCGAGACAAACCCACATTGGCGGCCAGATGCGTCCAGAACAACCGCAGCGATCCAGAGAATTTCAGTTTTTTCTGTGCATTAATTATCAATGGGGGGAAGTCGGAGACCACCAACAACCAGGGCTGCACTGCACCGCAATGCGTGTTCCATTTTATTAAGTGATGTGTGAAGGTAAAGGTGCAGCCCTGCATATTGCTTGCTCACACCGCTGTTGGCGGGTCTCCACTATCGAGGGAGCTCGAATGAGATCCTCTCGTGTTCTAGAGGGTATATTGGCCGAGATGGTCTCTTCAAGCTCTCCGATGGGGTGATTTTTCCTGCTCTTCCACGGTGGCCAGATGTCTCGGAAGAGGAGGTGAGTAAATTTCGATTTAAAGCTTTCGTGACTGCAGGGATTCATCTTCTCGGTTCTTTCGGTAAAGTCACGTAGAATGGAAATAATAAAATAATAAAATAAAACATAATAAAGTAATTCTCACGACGTTTCGGCCACAACGCAAGCAGCCGTCCTCAGGTGAAGACCAGGTCTGTCGGGGAGACAGCGTCTGAATGTCTCCCCGACAGACCTGGTCTTCACCTGAGGACGGCTGCTTGCGTTGTGGCCGAAACGTCGTGAGAATTATTTTATTATGTTTTATTTTATTATTTCCATTCTACCCCACCAAACGTCACCTGCCGACCGACTAGCCTGCCGTTAAGTATGTTGAACTTCTTTCACACCATACGTCGCTAACCGTGCTAATCGGAGGTGGTATGGAGTCTAATTTGCATTTCCCTTTCTCAATGGACTGCTGAAGAAAGGCATGTAGTGTCGGTCATGCGATTTTCTGACCATACTTCACCACGCTGGTCAGTGTGGGTGGAATTGAGCGACCCAGTCTCACCCTCGATTAAACAGCGCTACCTGCTGCTGCTACCTATGCTGCTGATGTTGCCTGCTCTGTATAATCGAGGGAGAGAATGATCTGTCGTATGTATACTCTTAGTTCTTTCGGTAAAGTCACGTAGGTAAAAAATGAAATAAAAATTAATAAAAATTAAACAATAAAAATGCATTTAAGGGCTTACATCTTGAATCCTTGCTTCACTTGATGCAGCAAATCTGGCTGTGACGGTCCCACCTGATGACAGAGACTTGTGTTGCCTCCGAAACGTCGTGATTTTTTGTTTTTTATTGTTTTATTTTTATTAATTTTAATTAAATGTTTTACCTACGTGACTTTACCGAAATAACTAAGAGTATGAATCCTTGCAGTCACGAAAGCTTCAAATCTAGAATGTCGTATGTATGTTGAACTTCTTTCACATCGTACGTAGCCAACTGAGCTAATCAGATGTGGTATTAGCACGGTTGGCTATATACGGTGCGAAAGAAGTTCAACATATATTCATACAGAATGAGCTGTTAATCAAATTCCCGAAGAAGCTCACAGCCTGTGGAGCGAAACGTCGGACACTGTGCAGAACAAACCCTTGCTATGACCCAAACACCACTTAGGAGAGCAATAATCTGTCGTTTGCTTTGAATCTCTGCACAGTGCACCCAGCGCAGTAGGAGGACAGATATGGGCTCCAGAGGGGGCCACTGCCTTCAAGTTGCTCTTGTCTGCTCGCTTTTGCTCAGCGCTGCTCAGCAACATCTCTGACTGCGATGAGACCTTCAACTACTGGGAGCCTGTAAGTTTACGGGTCGTCGTCGTCCCCCCCACATTTTGTGTTCTACTCTGGAGTGGTCAGACTGGGTGCGTGGGTGTTGTGGTTAGATTCAGATAAAACTAAATGTAAACGAAATCCGTCCGTTGTCCGATCCATTGCCGGATGAATGCCTTCTCCCGTGCGATGTCATTCATGAGGGTTGTTTGATCATACTTCACCGCACTCCGTGTAGGTTAGTGGAGGTAAGGTGGGGGAGGTCCAGGACCGGTTCGGATATCGCTCGCCCACTGACGTTGACTGCGATCGGGAATTAAACTCACGTCGCCGGGTTTATAGCACGGTGCGCTAACAATTGCTCCACCAGTCCATCTATACCTGCAATTACATCTGGACACATTTTCACAATTTTTATGGTCGGTGACTATAAGAGGCTGGGTATTTGTAATAAACACTTTCTTTGCGTGATACAGTGAACTGTCGGTATAATATTCCCGCTTTGTGCATTTTCCCACGTCTAACATCTTGTTTTTTTAAAGTCGCAAAAAACATCCCTAACAAAACAATGTGCAGTAAATGTTCCCCAATTGAACATTGTCCCACACATAATATAGCAAAATGGCTGATTCCCCTGAAAACTATCAAGTGTTCACAATGTTGAATGGCTAAGAATTATCTAAATGTTTGACTGGTTAAGGAAGCTAGACTAGAGCAATGACGAAATGAATCCCACGGACTAAAATTCAACAGGTTGTTATCGACTATAGTAGGACTTTAATTATGTTTTTTTAATGCTGACTCTCAATAACCACTCGCCTAGCATCATTGGAGTAGCGGTCGAGGGCAGGGGTCCTGGCAACCTCTGGCTCTGGAGCTGCATGCAGCTTTTTAGCTTCACCCTTGCGGACAGTCGTTTAAAAAAAAAGTAAATCTTAAACATAATTGAACGTTAAGATAATGTATTAAATATGGCAGGGAATGGGTCGCTATGGAATGTCTTATTGACAACAAAATGTACAAACTGTATTGTTTAAAGAATAAGAGGGGAAAAACGAAATAGACATAGTTTATTTCATTGCCTATTTTGTTTAGTTAAGTCAGAATTTGTTTGTCATCTGCTGTATACCTGCTGCTGTATTTGTGGACGTGTAGAAGTTGCTCTACGTGTGATGCGGTTCTCGAACTATTTTGGTCAAAGACAAAAAAAATGGCTCTTCTTCTTTGAAAGGTTGCCGACCCCTGGTCTAGGGAGACGAAACCCAACGAGTGTCTGTTGGGCCCCGTGCATTTCAGACGCACTACCTGCTGTACGGCACAGGGTTCCAGACGTGGGAGTACTCCCCCGAGTACGCCATCCGCTCGTATGCCTACCTCTGGCTGCTGGCCATCCCCGGCTGGTTCCACAGCCGGGTCCTGCAGGCCAACAAGGCAAGTTGACGCCGAGCGATCCGTTTCCACGTCGAGCCTATCCTGTCGCGAATACGGGTGCGATTTCGGTTGTACGTTTCAGACGTGCTATAGATGTGGGCGGCGATTGATCATGAGTGTAATCACGAAGTGGTTTCTGCTTTTACTCTGGATTAGTACGCGATGTAAATGATTTGTATTTGTTTATTACTGCGTTGTAAAATTAAGATGTAAAGCTTTCATGACTGCAGGGATTCATCTTGTTGGTTCTTTCGGTAAAGTCACATAGAATGGAAATAATAAAAAAAAATGCGTTGTAAAATGTTTTGGATCACTCTTCAATCAATTGGCACGGTTATTCACGTGGCAACTTTTATTATACAGTATGGCTGTGTCAGGTGCAGAAGGGTGTACGACACACTGGCATGTTACTCAGGAGATCTGAATCCGAAAATATATATTTGTAATCATATTGGTCGTGAAAACCTCGATGTTAAATCTGTAATTTGAGTAAACTTTTTATTGTATTCGTCTTGGACTTTGCTTATGTTGTCCATGTGCTGCAGGTGATGGTGTTTTACTTCATGCGCTGTGTTTTGGCCTTCACCTGCTGCCTCTGCGAGTTGTACTTCTACAAGTGAGTTACGTTAACGCGCTACATGTACAGCCCTTTGGTCAATCCACTGCTAGATGAGGGTCTCTCAACGCCGTGAGTGTCATGAGGTTATCATTCGAGATTCATGCCGTCGGCTTGTGCGGGTTGGTCAAGATCATAGACCTGGAAGCGTAAAAGTATGATGCAACAATGGGTTTTGTCGTACTTGCGTCTGCTGCCCTCCACGCGTCTCTGAACCCCCAAGCAATGTTGACGAATGGACTGGAGTGTCTTCGGGTTGTACCAATTGTTGTCCTGCATGAGGAGCGGTAATGTAGCCAAGCGGCATTGAGGCTCTTACATCCAATGTGTCCGTCTCCTCTAGAGCTGTTTGCAAGAGGTTTGGCCTCCACGTGGCCCGGCTAATGCTGGCCTTCCTGGTGTTGAGTCCTGGCATGTTCCTCTCGGCTGCCGGTAAGGAGTTAACGACAGTCAGTGCACAAGCCATCTTAAAACAAAGGTTTTCGTAGCCAATACAATGACTGATATTTGTTATAGGGTATGTAGTAGTTTTATGCCAAAATTCTTGACTTTAACCCTTTGCCGCCGAACAAGATTTTCAGTGAGTTTTATTGTCAGTGAGGAGGTTTATTGGTCAGAATATCATCAATATATTGGCATGTATAAATAATATCCTTGCAAGTGTGACAATCATGTTGGTTAGTGGAGGGTTGATGACAACAATTTTGGAATTAAAAAAATACCGATGTGACAATTATTCCCTAATTACTCATTTGGAAATATATGTTTAGCAATCATTGACCCCGAACTGCCAGACTAATGCCCCTGGTCGCTCTTTCAAATGAGATGAGATCTTGGTATCTTGCTTTTCACATGGTTTAACAAAATAAACTTGAAACTTTATCCAAGTGCTGTCCAGGTATTTTATTTTTACATATATCATCATCATCAGCAATGATTGATCCACTGCTGGATGAAGGTACATTAAACCTGGGCTGTGGAGAACCCAACAATCTCCTTAGTACCTGCACAGGAGCTGATGTCACCATCTCTGCGGTGGACATATTTATGTTCAGTACAACCTTGTGTATCCAACTTTCACATATTTGCCCAGTTAACCGCCCACATCCAGTGCAGTATTTGTGTATGATGGTGTAACTGTCAATTTCTACAGATGTTCACAAATTCACAGCTTTCACATGCAGAAATATATTCTTAATCTCGTGTGCAACTTCGTGCAGTACCCTATTTGCGCGTGGTGTAATCGTCTCAAGACGTTCACATATATCTGCGTACTATACCTAAAACTCCCAGCACTTCTGATATGCGGCGTCGTACTCGGTTCGTACACGAACATCTGTGTGTACGTTTTTCTCCTCTGTAGCATACCTGCCCAGCAGCTTCTGCATGTACACGACGCTGCTCGCCCTCTCGGGCTGGTACCTGGGCCACGACGGGGTCGCCGTGCTCTCCATCGCTGCCGGCGCCATCGTGGGCTGGCCCTTCAGCGCGCTGCTCGGGCGAGTGCCACCCTCGTTCCCCCCCCTCCTGACCCCCCCTCCCCCACCGCCCCTCAACCGCTCCCTTGACTCTCGCCTTCCTGCGTTGGCGGCCTTCTCTGGTCAGAGCCAAGCCGGCTGGGTTTAATGTGGTGGCGGGGGAGCCTACGGCTCATGGGCCGCATGCAGCATGCAACTTCATTTCACACGGCCCGTGGCACACACAAGGCCTACCACTTAGAAGCGACTCCCAAATTATAATTGTCTGTCACTGAAAGTATCTTAGCCGCCGCACTAATCAGGTACTAGAGGGGAATATGTTTGACCAAATAACACGGTGTTTTTAGTTTTAGTGTGCTCAGTGACAGAAGTATCTGAGTTGCGTGTAAAAAATGTGTGCGGTGTTCTATTTTGCGTATTTCACTTAACATGATGAACTTCCTCGACCTGTCTTCTTCCTCTTGACATGCATGTTATAGTAACTGATCCGGTGACCCGTGAGGCTATGGGCGATGTTGGTTGACCCTTGAACCATCCTAGCCAGAGATGATCGTGGAGTGTTGCTGGTCGACATTAACGTGACGGCTTCCTGCACTGTCTCCTTCACAGGATCCCCATTGCGGTCGACCTGCTGCTGAGGAAAGCGCACGTGAAGGAATTCCTTTGGTGGTGCTTGGTTGCGCTGCTCGTGTTTTTGGTAAGAGCAGGCCTTGCACGTGCGCACGAATGGCCAGCACAGGCGCAGCACTACCGCTCGGCTGTGCTGACGGGTTTAATCGTGACAGTGATAGGTTACCGAGTTGCTAATTCATTTAACTTATGCGTGAAATAACAGGCGAATTAAATACAACAGCGATGAAATATAACAATAGGCTTTTACCCTTTCTAGCAATAAAACAGATGTTAAGATGTTCAAACACAAAATAGATACCTATTGCAAGGCATCAAGTCTGCATTTGCCACACATACTTATGGCAAAACATGTAAATAAACATGCTCTGATAATATATGCATTGTCTTTGAAACTGATTATGGCCTCATCTCACCAGTGATATTAATGGCATATATTTGTATAAAAAATATTCCACAATTTTATTCCGATTGGATACTTTGTCTCACGACGCCATCATATCATGACACGAAGTATCCAATCAGATCTCCCACAGAGCAGCGCCGGTCCGCCTTGTTACGAGAACGGCCCGCAGAAGCGGGTTTCGCAGAGCTACCTTTGAAATCCCTTTAAGAGATCCCTAGTCCACACAGTAGGGGGCAGCACCTTCCACCCACCCTACATGCACTTAACAGCCACCGACAAGAGAGTGCATAAAACGTGGGTAATGTAAATTAATAAATCTGATTGATATGTTCATCTCGATTGCACTAATCTCACACCCGCTCCGTTTGGCTGGTGCCCACAGTTGCCCGTGGTGCTGGTGGACAGCTACTACTACGGCAAGCTGGTGTGCGCGCCGCTCAACATCATCCTCTACAACGTCTTCACACCGCACGGGCCAGATCTCTACGGTGAGCCTGCCCACCGGCAGCCGAGCTATCGATGGCACAGGCGGTGCAATTGCACCGCGGCCCACGCGGCCGTAGGGTAGATGGGGCTCAGGTGCCGGCATATAAAGAGGAGGCAAACTAGACGGGGTACGGGGGGGGGGGGCCCAGTTTGTTCCTTGCACCAAGGTCCATGCCAACGCCACTCTGCAACTGCACCGGGCCACCTCCAGGGTACAAAATGATTGAAAACCTCTTGCCGTGTTGAAACGGCCTCGTGTCAACGGGGGTGTCTTGTGCCTTCAGGGACGGAGCCGTGGACCTTCTATTTTGTGAATGGCTTCCTCAACTTCAACATCGCGTTCCCGCTCGCCCTGCTCGCCCTGCCGCTGGCAATGCTCACCGAGTCTCTTCTCTCCAAGTACAACAGTAAGGCTCATTGTGGTCACAGTGTGTGTACTTGTGTGTTGGGGCGTCGAGTGTGATTGTGTGTTGGGGTGTCACGTGTTGGCATGTCATCATGTTTGATTGCTTGCTGTGGCGTCACGTGTGGTTGTGTGTTGGGGTGTCGCGTGTGATTGTGTGTTAAGGCGCGCCATGTGTGATTGTGAGTTGGGGTGTTGTATTTGGCTGCAATAAATTTCCGCATGATAAGCGAATTTGTGACCATGTCTCTCCTGAAAAAGAGTTATATAGCTCAGTGGGCCTTACCTGATAAAATAAACAATAGTTTAGTTTTAAATGGTTTAGTTTAGTTGTGTGTTGAGGCGTGCCGTGTGTGACGGTGAGTTGGGATGTCGTGATTGTGAGCTGGGGTGCCGTGTGCGATTGTCTCAGTCCAGCACCTGGGGCGGCCCTATTGGCTGTCGCTGTCTCCGTTCTACCTGTGGCTGCTCGTGTTCATCGCTCAGCCGCACAAGGAGGAGCGCTTCATGTTCCCTGTGTTCCCGCTCGTGTGCCTGCACGGCGCCGTTGCGCTCTCAGCGTTGCAGGTACCGCGTGCTCTCGATTCGCGCTTCACGCCGTACGATTGGACGCTTGAAAGTCGACGTGTTTCTATTCCTATTCGTTGTGGCGTGGGGGGAGCGGTGGCGCAGCGGTGAGTGGCACCGCGTTTTGAACCCGGTGATTTGAGTTTCGATTGCCGACCACGGCTAATGTCAATGGCGATGATATCTGAACTGGTCTTGGGCCCTTCCCTTCACCCAACCGCATTGCCCACTGTGGCCAAACAGCCACCAATGGGGTGGGGAGGCCTTCATCCAGCAGTGGACTGACAAAAGTTCTATACATTTGTACACCGCCCTAACCCTCCCCATGCAGAATTTGGCGAGACCTAGGTTCGATTTCCTGCCACAGCTAATATCAATGGGTGACCTGTCCTCTGCATGCCGTAGGTTAACTCGTCCTTAAATCGATATCCAGTGCAGTGTGTTAGCATCATTACTGGGGAGACAATGACAGTCAGGCATTGCCGCTGGTTGCTCTTCCTGTGCCATGCCTGGCCTAAATAGGTGCTCGCTCCCAACATTGGCCCCAACAGTCTTCTTTTGCACCGTACGTAGCCAGCCGCACTAATCGGAGGTGTGGGGGAAGGACAACAAACTAAATACAAAAAGCAGTTCTAATATCGAAAGAAAGAGTGTTCCAGATACACTTTTAAAGGCTACACGGAGGATCTTTGTCTCTGTATGTGGGTGCAGAAGTGCTACCATTTTACGTTTTGGCGCTACCGTCTGGAGCACTACACTCACTCGTCGCAGTGGCTGGCGCTGTCCGCACTCGCGCTCTTCTCTGTGCTCTCAGCCTCGCGGACGCTCGCTCAGTTCAAAGGCAAGTTAACTCTCACATGCACACTCAGGGACTCGTGGCCCCGTCTGTTTTACTGCGTGGAGAGCATTGACGATTAAGCACTTCTTACACTTTGTGAAAATCAAAAGAAACTCTTTGGACAGATAATTGCTTGCAGGCTGGAAACAAGTAGTAATAATAATACACACGAAGGATGATTTTGAGACTGCAAAAGGGACAATTGTGAACAGAGGATCAATCTGGCCATCATGTTTTAGATGTCACGTGAGACGCAAGGCATGATGGGAAGACTGACAGAAGTGACTGGAGTGCATGTTAATGTGTGGCTTACCAAAGCTATTTGAAAGTCCTCTTCTGCCCTCATTAATGAAGAGATTCCACACTCCTACTACACTACAAGAATAACTTTGTCACAGCCTCGGGGGCAACGAAACACCGGTGGAATTAGAGAACGTCCTTGATGGTTGTTTTATCTGTTTGGTTTTCCCCGCCTGGTCGCGTAGGGTACCACGCCCCTTTGGACCTGTTTACCGAGTTCCACCGTGTGGCGGCCGACCCCAGCATCCACACGCTGGCTGAGGGGAAAACGGTGAACGTGTGCATCGGCAAGGAGTGGCACAGATTCCCCACGCACTTCCTGCTCCCTGAAACGTAAGGGGGAGGGGGCGGAGGCGTGTCTGGAGAAATGTTATGCAACGGGAATGAGAGGCAGGCAGAAGGTTTTGGTTTTGGTAAATGAGGAGGTCTTTAGTTTTGGTGAGGTTCGTTTGGAGAAAGTCTGAGCCAGCCCGAGACGGGATTGTGGCAAGGCCGCATGTAAGAGTGTACGGTGCCGTTTTTAAACTTGTGTTGTGTCATTTTGTGAGTTTTCACTTTCTGTGGCTGTTTGCTTCGTGATCAGTGTAGAAACCGCGGAATCACTCTGCACTAAATCAGTGGATCACCTCCAACACCTGCCTAATGCTTTGGGGTATAATGATTCTTCGAGTCATCAATTGCATGGTGTATGTAAGAATCAGTTATTTTATGTTTTGTATATGCTGTGAGTAATTAGTCAACTTAATCTCTGCAGACACAAGAGGTGCTACAGTTCCCCCACGTAAAAAAATATATGTAATTTACTCTTGACTTAAATCGCACTGACAAAATAGGAACGGATCATCCAGTCACAAGGAGGAATTTGTTGAGCAGCATTATCATTGCCGTCGCTGTCTTTAAGGCTAAAAGCGTTCTTCTACAGTCGCCAACGTTGCGTGCCGTGGTCGCTCAACGCCGTTCGTACCACCGCTGCCAATTGCCCTCTGTGTTCCTGAGCAGAAACTGGAAGCTGCAGTTCATCGCGTCGGAGTTCCGGGGGCAGCTGCCCAAGCCGTACCCGCCAGGAGACGACGCGACGCGGATCGTCCCCTCCCACATGAATGACCAGAACCGCGAGGAGGAGTCGCGATACGTGCGTACCGCGGCAGCGCGTGTGCGCAGCCCTTGTTTACTGCACCTCCGATTAACACGGTTGGCTACATGCGGTGCGAAAGAAGTTCAACGTACATATAGCACGTTTAGTTCCGTACGCTGCAAAAGAAGTTCAGCATACATACAAAGTGCAATTTCTGCTCGTGGTCGTCGGCGCATGATCACGGCAACCCTGTGACCTAATCTCACTGAATGTGGAATGTGACCCCAATCCCCGCCGGCAGCTAGGCAGCTAAGTGGGGGATGAGCTTGGTCAGTGCTTAGATGGGCGTGTTTGTTTGTATGTATGTTGAACTTCTTTCGCAGCGTACGTAGCCAACCGTGCTAATCGAAAGTGCGTGCCAGGTGTTGTAGGCGGTCATGCATGTGAGGGGATAACACTGGATGGGTGACCCCCTCCCCCCTGGGAGTTGCCCTTGAACAAGTGCTTGCTCGCTCAATGGATCTTCCCCGAGGATATACGTACAGTACAATAACATTGGTGTTGTAGGCTGCAGCTAGTGGGCTATTCTGTGGACAGCAGAGGTCAGTGAAGCAAAGTTTATTGGACTGTACTTCAATGCTCTTAGGTTTTTTCGGTAAAGTCACGTAGGTAAAAAATATAATTAAAAAAATACTAAAAGTAATAATAGAAATAAAATAAAATAATAAATCACGACGTTTCGGAGGCAACACAAGTCTCCGTCATCAGGTGGGACCGTCACAGCTAGATTTGCTGTATCAAGTGATATAAAATAATAAATCACGACGTTTCTGAGGCAACACAAGTCTCCGTCATCAGGTGGGACCGTCACAGCTAGATTTGCTGTATCGAGTGATACAGCAAATCTAGCTGTATCACTCGATGCAGCAAATTTAGCTGTATCACTCGATACAGCAAATCTAGCTGTGACGGTCCCACCTGATGACGGAGACTTGTGTTGCCTCAGAAACGTCGTGCTTTATTATTGTATTTCTATTATTACTTTTAGTAATTTTTTTATTTAATTTTCTACCTACGTGACTTTACCGAAAAAACCTAAGAGTATGAATCCTTGCAGTCACGAAAGCTTCAAATCTAGAATTGTACTTTCATGCTCCCACTTCTATGTTGCCGGCTTTAAACCTTCTTGCCAGCAGGGTTACGTGTGGTCAAATGAGAACCCCCACACTCGGAGGCCTTCATCCAGCAGTGGATTGTACAATCCGGTTTACGACTGTCATTGTTTTTTATTTTAATCAGAGTTCTGAAACAATCATGACCGGCGCGGCGTAGCTAACGGGTGTGCAGGCGGTGCACCTGTGCCGAGGCTTGTGGGCCAAAGGGTCCCGGGCTACGAAGAGACGGGAAAAGTTGGGTCAGGGGGCTGGGCCCCCCTCCAACCACCCTATTTTGTTCCTTGCACGAGTTCCCGTGCCAACCACGGTGCGCCACTGGAGACGCCGGTCGCAACGCCGACTGCCTCAGCACGCTTGTGGTCCAATGGCCCTGGCGGCGTGCACGCAGGTCGACGTGAAGCAGTGCCACTACCTGGTGGACCTGGACAGGGATGTGGAGACGGAGCGCGAGCCCCGCTACGTCGCCAGGACGGACGAGTGGAGTGTCGTCGCATACAGGTCCTTCCTCGATGCGGCCAGGTGCGTACGGCGTCCGTCCATCTGTAGCGGGAAGGGGGGGGGGCCGCTATAACTCTACGAACAAAAACTTGAGTATAAAGTTGCATTGATTATTAGAGAATCACACTGGAGAAAACTGGATGAATCGATGAAAGGGAGCTAGTGAAAATTTGGAGACACAAACCAAAGGGAAAAAATATTTGCCCTGATAGATACACGTTGGTTTAAGGCTAAGCAGAAAGCATGCACAATAGACTGAACAGACCCAGATGGAAAGATAAGTGCATGAAGGATGTGTTGTCCACTGTTGAGGCATGGAGTGTGTGAGGTCTCTACAGGAGAAGAGAGCACCCACTAAGGCTAGTGCTTGAAACCCTCCCATCAATAACGACTACGTTTTCAAGATCTGGAACTGGATGTCAGTCCCATGTGATAGCCGAAACTGTCATCCGTTGCAGCGATGGGAGAATGCAGACGATGAAATGCTTGAGCACTTTGGAAAACGATACATAATCCACCTAATTCGTAAAAAGCAAGAATATGTGGAGCCACTGGAGGAATCTACTATTTCACTCTAAAGAAATGCAACGGGTTTTTAAGTAGGGGAAATTTAGCGCATTGAATGGAGGAGCAGTAGCCGAGATGGTAGGACACGAGCCGGCTTCGTTTAACATGTGAAGGACATGGATTCCGATCTCTGGCTCATAATTAGTTTTTTTATCTACCCCAAGGTAACTCAATGGGGAGTACTTCATCCAGCAGTGTGTTAAAAAAAGGGTTGTAAACTATGTATTATTACCATTGGAACCTCATTTGCCAGTAAAAAATATGATAATTGGTTTTTTACCCTTCTATCTGGCAACAAAACTGACACCTTTTTTACAAGGAGTCAATTTTACATAGACCACAATACCTGCAGTCATAATGCAAACAAAAAACCCATGTGAGACTAGGCTCTAAGGAAAGCTGTCTCGGGTGTGGACCAATCAACTTCAAGGACAGTGCACATTATCAGTTATGTTTTTTGTTTGCATTATGACTGCAGGTATTGTGGTCTATGTAAACATGACTCCTTGTAAAAAAGGTATCAGTTTTGTTGCCAGATAGAAGGGTAAAAAACCAATTATATGTATTATTATTTTATTCTCTTTACTGTACTAATATTGCCACTGCATTTTCCAAAAATAGAAACATAGGTTTAGATTATTTGGCCACTCTAAATTTCCACATGATAAGCCACTACGTTGAGCTATTATTTGTGGCCAGGTCACTTCTGAAAAGAAGCTGACAGCTCAGTGAGCCTTGCCTGGTAAAATAAAAAAATGTTTCTTTAAATGTTTTTAGTGATTTGCTTACCTTTCATTTAATTTGCACTCCTATCGTGTTTTTAGTCTTGTTTGTTGTAACTTTATTACCCGTCCCGATTGGACATCTGTGAAAAAGGGCTTCATAGCTCATCGGATTCCTCCATTATAAATAAAGATTCTGATTTTGGTGCTAGTGCGAGACTCACTTCCGTTCTCTCTCTATCCCTCTCTGTGTCTCTCGGTGGCTTAACATGCGCAGCTCGTCCAAGCTGTTGCGCGCCTTCTACGTTCCGTTCCTGTCGTCTCAGCACGTCGTCTACCGAAACTACACCATCCTGAAGACGCGCAGAACCGGGCCCGGCAGGAAGAAGCGCACGAGGTTTCCGTGACGGCATGCCGAAGCGACTGCGCACTTTCTCGAGCCGCATGTTGACGATGCGTTTTCCGGTTGCGCTGCGCGTTGTCGGGGGCGCGGCGTCCCGATTTTCTGCTCTGGTGTGATAGCCCGGAGCTTCTTCAGGAACTGAATTAATTTCCTTAATTGATTTGAGATCAGTTTAAAACTACTATTTAAGCTAATTTTTTTTATTATTTTGACCAGGGTAGGCCCACTGAGCTATATAGCTCTTTTTCCTAAACGACCTGGCCACAAATTATAGCTTAATGAAGTGGCCTCTCATGTTTATTCTGAATGTGAAGGGAAAAACCAGAATTCCCGGAAAAAATTCACATGAGCACGGAGAGAACACGTAAACTCCGGATATATAGTTGTCAGGGTCGGGATCGAACCCACGAACTCCTGCATATCAGGTGAGGTAGTTAACATCTCACCACCATGGTGCTGCAGAAGGTACCAGCCATATAAAGCAAAACTTCGGTACGTTGGAACTGAATTTAGGAACCGAACTGAACGCAGTTCCCGAACCTTCCCAGCGCACGGAGAAAAGCGTCGGTACGTCGGGAACTGAATTCAGCAACCGCTTTGAATTGAATTCAGGAACTATCAGTGAGTTCTTTGAGAAGCTCCCCAGCACACGGAGCGAAACGTCGGACTACGTAACCGTGCGGCACGCAGCAAGACCCAAACGCACTGTCGGAGAGAGCCGTGCAAGCGCGACCCCGCGAAAAACTCGGAGTGTTGTGCCGCATTGCAGCGAGCGCTCGTTACGAGGGGTGGAAAAACGGTTCGATCGTCGATGGCCTTTTTATTCAGGTATTCTCGCACGCGTGTTCACGCGTGTTCAATGACGATTTTCCAAAAATAAATAAACACAAAGCATTTAATTATCGCCCGCAGGTCTTCAGGGCATGGGTGTTGGTGGCGTGGGGGGAAAAAGCATTGTGTTAATGAACATTGGGATCCACTTGTAACTTGTGTTTGTCCAAGCTGTGTATTTCCTCGGTTAGTGTTTATTTTCTTGGCCCAGATAACATAAGAAAAAGGTTATTTTACTGATAAGTACAATGTTTATACGTGTAGTAAATGATGGATATAAGCACACCCCATGGGAGCAAGGCCAGCTGTGCTTGTATCAGAAGGCGTGAGCCAGTATCAGAAGTTGCCCTTTGACTTGCGCTCCCACCAGTGTAATGTATTTGACCAGGGAAGGCCCACTGAGCTATATAGCTATTTTTCAGAAGCGACCTGACCACAAATGATAGCTAAACGAAGTAGCTTATTATGGGGGAATTTATCGCATCCAAATACTCGAAACGCACGTTTCAAACTCCAAATATACAGCAGGCGTCAGGGTCGGGCTCAAACCCAAGACATCCTGTATACCAGGCGAGGTAGTTAACATCTCGCCACCCCGGTGCCCTGTTTCTTATATCAGAACTGTGCTTATAGTAAGGTGTGCTTATATTCATCCAGCTTCTACTGTGCTTGGAATACAAGGGTTGATAAAGTCCATGGCCTCACGCCAGAGGGGTGGTGGTACGACGGAGTGAATGTTTAGACATAATTACTTTAAAAGAAGATTACCAGGATGTCAAGTTAATTTATTGATTGAAAAATGTGGAAGCCTGAGCTGATGGTGGCAAAAAAATGACTGCAACAAGAGAATACCACCATGTGGTTGGTAAATTAAAATAAGTTGAGTACATTCCCCCTACGTCCGGCAGACATCGTTGTTTCTGCCAAAGTCGGGCGTCACGTTACGCGAGGTCATGTAAGTTAACCGGATGCGACATCTCTAACACCGTGCAGGTGTAGCGTTGGCTTCTGTGAAGACTACCAGAGAGCCTCATTGAAGTACATTACATGTTCAAATATCCGACCATCGCATAAACTCTTGACCGATTAAATCACCCACGTCTAGTGCAGTATTTAGCATGGTGCAACTCCCATTATCCATAGATGCACAGATATGCGAGCTTTTTCACATATCTGTCTATTCTTCAGTCCCAAGCGAGGTGGATATGCAACATTGTACTGTCCCGCTAAGTCGACCTGCTAAGGTCGCAAAGGATTACGTGATACATTTGTAATTGCGCGTAGCAAAAGCGGTGAGTGTAGTTCTTTGGATAATGCTGTATTCGACTGTACAAGTGCATTCCTCTTAGTCCACTGCTGGATGAGTGTCTCCCTACGCCTTGTGCCATGGGGGGTATTCGATCACACTTTACCACGCTGGCCAGTGCGGGTCGATGGACGTGGGGAGCATAGTTGTGGGAGCATAGCACAGTACAATACCGGATTTTGCTGTACTACCCTCTACTGCTGCCCACCACCAGCCCACAGCACCTGTTGTGCATGACAATCAACTATCCAAGCATTATCCAGGCTGAAACCTGTGTAGCTTTTGATATCTCACCGGATCGGGCGCATTCCGAGTGATTTGGTGAGTGGCTGTACTTTAATATTGCATGGACTTGAATGATGATGATGCACAACTCTGATATTTTACTTGTAACTGAAGCTTTATGATGACCAAACCCTCGGGACCAGAGTGAGCTCACGGTTTGTGGATATGGACTTAAAAGGCTGGTGCATTAACATCTGCTGTGTAGTCATTGTTGAGAAAGGCTAAATCCTGATGGTCAGCTGTTATATCTGTGTATATACGTAACACTTGTTGAGCACAGGCTCAAAGGCCCGAAACACTTAAGTGGCCAGCAACGAACAGCATTGTTGAAGTTGCGATAGTCAAGTTTAAGTTTGTTTCTTGCACCGAGAAAAGTTATACGAGCTGGGGAGAAGAGATGATGGGAGAGAATTCTAAATAACCAGGAGAGATCAATGTTGTGACCTGCAGTGTGGTGGCGGTTGAACAGCACGGTGGATGAGATGAAACAGTCCGGTAGTCCTCAACGTGGGTGGATGATTCGATGTTCTCGGGAACAGTAACCATCGTTCATAATCGACGTTTTTGGGTTTAGATCGCCGCGTTATTTATAAATGTGTCGTAACCCTCCACCACCTGACACGGCCAATCAGTAAAAAAGTGTCACGTTGACAAAAGACAAATAGTTAAAGCAGTGAACTATTTGTCTTTTGTCAACGTGACACTTTTTTACTGATTGGCCGTGTCGGGTGGTGGAGGGTTACGACACATTTATAAATAACGCGATCTGAACCCAAAAACGTTGATTATGAATAATATTGGTCGCGAAAGCCTACGTGTTAAAGTAACCATCGTACCGTAGTAGTCGCCGCGATAGAAGATTATTCAGAGGTGACTCGGAGTGAATCGAATAAGCGCTGGATCATCACTCAATCCGACTGTGTTGGAAGATGTTGGGACGGACCGGTCGCATCATCAGTGCCCGAGTGTGTCCCCAAGTTTTTCCCTGGTGTTCGTCCACATGCCCTCTGTTACCAAGGTAACGCCGATGATATACATTGTAGCCGTGTTTTGTTTTCCCCCAATTTTTTATCATGTTGAAATTTTAATTGCTTGGAGATATTTAAGCAGATTGGTGTCGATAGCTTACCCTATGGGTCAAACGTGGAAGTGATTCAATGTTGCAACATTTAAAGCGAAATAAACTGCAATCAATTAAAATATTACAGTTCCAGGTTGTTTTTTCTTTCGAGACCATGGTCTCTGTGTCCAGGCATTGTTTGGATAAATGTTGAGATAACATGTTATTAAAACAAAAATAGTTTGATTTTTATTTGCTTCATTTTGCTATTGTTATAATGGTGACCCAGGTAACTATTGCAAATGAGACTATCCCGGTCTCTTAAATTCTCACCTGTGGTTACAGAAAATAAACTTGAACTGGATCTTTAGTACAATACCTTACTCCTGTGCAATTACTGGCAATGCCCTGTAAAGGAACGTACCCAGGACCAGTTGAGACATCACCCGTCACGGATGTTAGTCGTGGCCGGGAATGGAACTGATGTTGCTGCGTTCAAAGCGCAGTGAGCGAACCACTGCACCATCCCCTCCACCTTCATATATGAGTAAAATTATTATAACCGAGTAATAAGCGCATTACTTTGAAGGTTGAGTGGAACATGGTGACTGGACAATAGATTAAGCTTATCTTCTTTACCGGACTTCGAAACAATCTTGGGTTATACCGAGAATTCTGCCCTGGCATCAGTCATTAAAATATTCTCATTAATATACCGCGACCCTTAAAATTAAATCCCCCCCCCCCCTTTCGAATGGGACGGCTGTCTATATATAAGGGATGGTGATGTAATGACAGTTTTATAATATTTTTAATTGGAATTGGCCAAACATTCCAATGTAGTAGGATCCTTTCCGAAGGAGGAGCCTTGAGAGATTCAGGGAGGCACTTCTGGCTACGTAAAGGGCATTGCTGTACAAAACGAGAGTCGCATACCCACCCTGACCAATTCACGTTCTGACCTGCCCCTACTGGACATATGTGAAAAAGAGCTTCATAGCTCATCGGATTCCTCCAGTATAAATACATATTCTGATTCTGAACCGAGCACAAACAGTGGCAGTGTTTGTGCACGGTGCAACTGTCACGTTCTGCAAATGTTCACTAATCTGACCATTTCACATATCCGCCTCTACCAACTACCCTAAGAGGTTTCGATTTAAAGCTTTCGTGACTGCAGGGATTCATCTTCTTGGTTCTGAAGTCTTTCCGACAGACCTGTTCTCCACCTGAGGACGGCTGCTTGTGTTGTGGCCGAAACGTCGCGAGAATTATTTTATTATGTTTTATTTTTATTATTTAAATATTTCTATTCTACGTGACTTTACCCTAAGAGGGTTGAATATGCGACGTTGCCCTATGCGTGTCCTATTTAACTATTTTTATTCTTAGGTTTTTTCGGTAAAGTCACGTAGGTAAAAAATCTAAATTAATAAAAGTAAAATAAAAATTTATTAATTTTGATTTTTTACCTACGTGACTTTACCGAAAAAACCTAAGAATATGAATACTTGCAGTCACGAAAGCTTCAAATCTAGAATTAACTATTTTTATTCTAGCAGGAACGGCCCACTGAGCTAAATAGCTCTTTTTCGGAAGCGACCTGGCCACAAAATGGTAGCTCAACCAAGTGGCCTATCATGTGGACATTCATGGCAGTAGCCAAATAATCAAATCACATCCATAATCAACGATTTTTGGGTTTAGATCGCGTTTATTTATAAATGTGTCGTAACCCTCCACCACCCGACACGGCCAATCAGTAAAAAATGTGTCACGTTGACAAAGACAAATAGTTCACTGCTTTAGCCCACCGGTGTGTTGAAGCAACAACATTCACAATTTGAGTACGCCGTTTCGCTGGTAATTACAACCAGCATCATCGGGCAATTCGCCAGAATGGTGAGGCTCTCCTGTGTCTCCCGTTCTTATATAGAGCAGCAGCAGGATGACGTCATCATTAACTCATTAACTCATCAGGTGCAAAGATTCAAGGGGGGAGTGATTGTAATTATATACTAGATTAGTAATCAGGCTATTGTTACGATGCGAGTTGTAGATTAGTAATCATTTGGAATGTGTTTTATTGTGATTATGCTACATTAGTAATCTGTTAGTGGTTGTTTCCCTTATAAGTAATTGTAATGTATCTTATTTAATAATTACTTATAAGGGAAACAACCACTAACAGATTACTAATGTAGCATAATCACAATAAAACACATTCCAAATGATTACTAATCTACAACTCGCATCGTAACAATAGCCTGATTACTAATCTAGTATATAATTACAATCACTCCCCCCTTGAATCTTTGCACCTGATGAGTTAATGAGTTAATGATGACGTCATCCTGCTGCTGCTCTATATAAGAACGGGAGACACAGGAGAGCCTCACCATTCTGGCGAATTGCCCGATGATGCTGGTTGTAATTACCAGCGAAACGGCGTACTCAAATTGTGAATGTTGTTGCTTCAACACACCGGTGGGCTAAAGCAGTGAACTATTTGTCTTTGTCAACGTGACACATTTTTTACTGATTGGCCGTGTCGGGTGGTGGAGGGTTACGACACATTTATAAATAAACGCGATCTAAACCCAAAAATCGTTGATTATGAATAACATTGGTCGCGAAAGCCTACGTGTTAAACCAATCAAATCACATGTTTCTAAACGTGGAGCGAAAAAAACCCGGAGGAAACTTCACACGACGACGGGGAGAGAGAGACACCGCAAACTCCAAATGAATAGGCGTCAGTGTTGAGATCGAACCCACGACCTCCTGTAAACCAGGCGAGGTAGTTCACATATCCTAGCCACCGTGAAGATGATGAGAGAGAGACACGCAAACTCCAAATATACAGCAGCAGGCGTTAAGGTCAGGATCGAACCCACAATCTCCTGCATACCAGGCGAGGTAGTTAACATGTATTCGCCACCGTGATGATGATCTGAGAGAGACACGCAAACTCCAAATATAAAGCAGGCGTCAGTGTTGAGATAGAACCCACGACCTCCTCCTGTAGCCCAGGCGAGGTAGTTTACATCTCCTCGCCACCGTGATGATGATGAAAAACACGCAAACTCCAAATATACAGCAGCAGGAGTCAATGTTGAGATCGAACCCACGACCTCCTGTAGCCCAGGCGAGGTAGTTAACATCTCCTCGCCACCGTGATGATGATAGAGAGAGACACGCAAACTCCAAATATACAGCAGCAGGAGTCAATGTTGAGATCGAACCCACGACCTTCTGTAGCCCAGGCGAGGTAGTTAACATCTCGTCACCGCGATGATGATGATGATGAGAAACACGCAAACTCCAAATATACAGCAGCAGTAGTCAATGTTGGGATCGAACCCACGACCTCCTGTAGCCCAGGCGAGGTAGTTAACATCTCCTAGCCACCGTGATGATAATCTGAGAGAGACACGTAAACTCCAAATATACAGCAGCAGGAGTCAGTGTTGGGATCGAACCCACGACCTCCTGTAGCCCAGGCGAGGTAGTTTACATCTCCTCGCCACCGTGATGATGATAGAGAGAGACACGCAAACTCCAAATATACAGCAGCAGGAGTCAGTGTTGGGATCGAATCCTCCTGTAGCCCAGGCGAGGGAGTTAACATCTCCTAGCCACCGTGATGATGATAGAGAGAGAGACACGCAAACTCCAAATATACAGCAGCAGGAGTCAATGTTGAGATCGAACCCACGACCTCCTGTAGCCCAGGCGAGGTAGTTAACATCTCCTAGCCACCGTGATGATGATGATGAGAAACACGCAAACTCCAAATATACAGCAGCAGGAGTCAATGTTGAGATCGAACCCACGACCTCCTGTAGCCCAGGCGAGGTAGTTAACATCTCCTAGCCACCGTGATGATAATCTGAGAGAGACACGTAAACTCCAAATATACAGCAGCAGGAGTCAGTGTTGGGATCGAACCCACGACCTCCTGTAGCCGAGGCGAGGTAGTTAACATCTCCTAGCCACCGTGATGATGATAGAGAGAGACACGCAAACTCCAAATATACAGCAGCAGGAGTCAGTGTTGGGATCGAATCCTCCTGTAGCCCAGGCGAGGGAGTTAACATCTCCTCGCCACTGTGATGATGATAGAGAGAGACACGCAAACTCCAAATATACAGCAGCAGGAGTCAGTGTTGGGATCGAATCCACGACCTCCTGCATACCAGGCGAGGTAGTTAACATCTCCTAGCCACCATGATGATGATGATAAGGAGAGACACGCAAACTCCAAATATACAGCAGCAGGAGTCGGTGTTGGGATCGAACCCACGACCTCCTGTAGCAGAGGCGAGGTAGTTAACATCTCCTAGCCACCGTGATGATGATGATAGAGAGAGACACGCAAACTCAAAATATACAGCAGCAGGAGTCAATGTTGAGATCGAACCCACGACCTCCTGTAGTCCAGGCGAGGTAGTTTACATCTCCTCGCCACCGTGATGATGATGAGAAACACGTAAACTCCAAATATACAGCAGCACGCGTCAATGTTGAGATCGAACCCACGACCTCCTGTAGCCCAGGCGAGGTAGTTAACATCTCCTCGCCACCGTGATGATGATGATAGAGAGAGACACGCAAACTCCAAATATACAGCAGCAGGAGTCAGTGTTGAGATCGAACCCACGACCTCCTGTAGTCCAGGTGAGGTAGTTAACATCTCCTAGCCACCGTGATGATGATAGAGAGAGACAAGCAAACTCCAAATATACAGCAGCAGGAGTCAATGTTGGGATCAAACCCACGACCTCCTGTAGCCCAGGCGAGGTAGTTAACATCTCCTCGCCACCGTGATGATGAGAAACACGCAAACTCCAAATATATGTAGGGCTGTTATAAACGGGCTGTTTGTACATAGGAGCAAACGGCGAACAAACACAGTGGGTGGAGCTCCGGGAGTAAACGGGGGGGGGGGGGGGGGTGCCCGCAACAACGTCCGCATCGGGCTGCCCGGTGGTTGTGATCCGAGAGGGGGTATAAAAGGGGATGTCAGAGAGAGCTCGGGGCTAAGTATTAGAACGAAGAAGGGAAGACTGAAGACCCGGGTAGCTAGAGCCCTGGACTCCCCTGAGACGCCGCCCTTGTCAGGGCCGCGCAGGACCGAGCCAGCGGCGTGGTCCCGTGAACCAGAGTCAGCACTCTGGGATTCCGGGTACCTTAGCCCGACTCACCAGTGTCTGGCCAGACAGCCTCCCCTAGCCTGTTAGTGGAGGACTCGGGGTAGGTTAGGGATAGCTAGTGGTGTATCCCCAGTTATACGGGTGAGGGGGCCGATACCCCCTCTAGTGCTGTCCTGTCGTGACAACTTGTAAAATAAATACACGTGTGCCTCAAAGAAAAAAAAAATGAGGCACACACGAGGGTCAAGGGGTAAAGGTACCTTTATTGAAATTGTTGCAGCCGGGACGGCTGCGAGCTGTGCAGGGGGGGGGGGGGGTGATGTAGGGCTGTTATAAACGGGCTGTTTGTACATAGGAGTAAACGGCGAACAAACACAGTGGGCGGAGCTCCGGGAGTAAACGGGGGGGGGGGGGGGGGGGGGGTGCCCGCAACAACGTCCGCATTGGGCTGCCCGGCGGTTGTGATCCGGGAGGGGGTATAAAAGGGGATGTCAGAGAGAGCTCGGGGCTCAGTATTAGAACGAAGAAGGGAAGACTGAAGACCCAGGGTAGCTAGAGCCCTGGACTCCCCTGAGACGCCGCCCTTGTCAGGGCCGCGCAGGACCGAGCCAGCGGCGTGGTCCCGTGAACCAGAGTCAGCACTCTGGGATTCCGGGTACCGTAGCCCGACTCACCAGTGTCGGGCCAGACAGCCTCCCCTAGCCCGTTAGTGGAGGACTCGGGGTAGGTTAGGGATAGCTAGTGGTGTATCCCCAGTTATACGGGTGAGGGGGCCGATACCCCTCTCTAGTGCTGTCCTGTCGTGACAACTTGTAAAATAAATACACGTGTGCCTCAACCTTGGTGTCAAGCGTCCTCACCGGTACTTCATATACAGCAGCAGGAGTCAATGTTGAGATCGAACCCACGACCTCCTGTAGCCCAGGCGAGGGAGTTAACATCTCCTCGCCACCGTGGTGATGATGATAGAGAGAGAGACACGCAAACTCCAAATATACAGCAGCAGGAGTCAGTGTTGAGATCGAACCCACGACCTCCTGTAGCCCAGGCGAGGTAGTTAACATCTCCTCGCCACCGTGGTGATGATGATAGAGAGAGAGACACGCAAACTCCAAATATACAGCAGCAGGAGTCAGTGTTGAGATCGAACCCACGACCTCCTGTAGCCCAGGCGAGGTAGTTAACATCTCCTCGCCACCGTGATGATGATGATGATGAGAAACACGCAAACTCCAAATATACAGCAGCAGGAGTCAGTGTTGAAATCGAACCCACGACCTCCTGTAGCCCAGGCGAGGTAGTTTACATCTCGCCACCGTGATGATCTGAGAGAGACACGCAAACTCCAAATATACAGCAGCAGGAGTCAGTGTTGAGATCGAACCCACGACCTCCTGCATACCAGGCGAGGTAGTTAACATCTCCTAGCCACCGTGATCATGATAGAGACACGCAAACTCCAAATATACAGCAGCAGGAGCCAGTGTTGAGATCGAACCCACGACCTCCTGCATACCAGGCGAGGTAGTTAACATCTCCTCGCCACCGTGATCATGATAGAGAGAGACACGCAAACTCCAAATATACTGCAGCAGGAGTCAATGTTGGGATCGAACCCACGACCTCCTGTAGCCCAGGCGAGGTAGTTAACATCTCCTAGCCACCGTGATGATGATCTGAGAGAGAGAGACACGCAAACTCCAAATATACAGCAGCAGGAGTCAATGTTGAGATCGAACCCACGACCTCCTGTAGCAGAGGCGAGGTAGTTAACATCTCGCCACCGCGATGATGATGATGAGAAACACGCAAACTCCAAATATACAGCAGCAGGAGTCAGTGTTGGAATCGAACCCACGACCTCCTGTAGCTCGGGCGAGGCAGTTGACACGTGGTCGCCCTGCACCGCTGTTGTTTACGTCACGTGCGCCCACGTGACTCGCGAGGTCCGACGCGAGCGACAAATCGCCGCGGTCCCTTTGAAAAGCCCGACCCGGGGCACTCGGGCGAGCTCAGGAGAGAGCGAGGACGACGAGGGGAGGACGACTAGGACGACGAGGAGGAGGAGACGGTAAGAGAAGAGTGTAGAGATGACGTGGGGTGAAGCGAGGAGGGTGAGGGAGGGAGACGAGGGAAGGACGCGGCTCCTGGGTCGTGCGAGTCGGTGCACATCGCCAGGCCCGGCTCTCGGGCCTTCAACCCGGGGCCTAAACGCAGCGCAGTTAGCGATAACAATTCTACTTAAATAAGAAAACGCAGTGCTATAATAAGCTGTGTTGTAATACTAACAATAGGTATTGCGCTGTTATAATACGCGCATTGTTGTAATTGCAATCCCTAGTGTTTTAATTACGGCGAGCATTATCCGGACATGGTAATATGCAATGTTAAAATGAAAACTGTTACAATGTTATTTGTAGTAATCGCAGCACGATAGTTTAAATAATCATCCACCAACGCTGCACTGACCGGCGTGGTGAAGTATGGTCAAGGGGGCAGCCGCCACAAGCGAAACGGTTTGGAAGACGCCTTCCATCTAGCAGTTGGGTTGACGGAGATTTGAATAATAACAGTAATTATAGCAATGTTCTTAGTATTTCAGTGATAGCATCGGTGATACGCTGATAATGATAAACGTAACCACAGGGATAAAGAGGGTTGGGGTGAGGGTAACGGGCGCCAAGGGGCACTGGGACATCACCACAATGTTAGCGAGACAATCACCAGCATTGAGTGACCCTTACAGTGTGACACCACCACCACATTGCGAGATATACAACCAGATTGTGAGTGACACCACCACATTGTGAGTTACACCGCCACCACGTTGTGACACGACCACCACATTGTGAGTGACACCACCACCACCACATTGTGAGTGACACCACAAGCGAATTGTGGGTGACACCACCACATTGTGAGTTACATCGCCACCACGTTGTGACACGACCACCACCACATTGTGAGTGACACCACCACCACCACATTGTGAGTTACAACGCCACCACGTTGTGACACGACCACCACATTGTGAGTGACACCACCACCACATTGTGACGCCACAACCGAATTGTGGGTGACACAGTGACCACGTTGTGACACCACGACCATATTTGGGTTGACATCAACACCACATTTTGAGTGGCACTCACTTTGACACTGACGCTGTGACACTAGCACTTTGGGAGTGACACAGTCATCACATTGCTGTATGCGCTGTCGCGGCTCGATACCGGAATCAACAGCACTGCAAATTTGCTGATGATGTAGTTTTCTTGTAGAAGAGACTAGTTTTTTCTGGTTGTCGACTGGCTCCAGCAATAGCAATGTGGAATAAACACCGTGGGATTAGTGTCATCGGCACACGAGAGCACCACTCCATATGCTCGTTGAGAGTAAATATACTGCGATTGTGTTATTTACTTGAGTAACTGTGATATTACTTTATCGCGATAATAAGATCGTTTGCAAGTCGGAGGATTTGATCTGTTATCTACAGAAAAATTCAAATCGTGTTAACTGCCTGTGGATCACCTTAAAAGTAGGGCTTGATTTCAGCCGAATACTTTTCTGGAAATAATATTGGTGTGCCACATCCATTTTGGGATTACAGGAACATTGTGTACAATAATGTATGTACAAGTTGGTGTGATGGGCACAACGTTGTAATGATTGACACGAAATTAATGAATAAACATTCACAAAGTATTATAGCGATATGGGATAGGCATATCTTGTACAGAAATTTAGGGGTAGTGCATTGCGCCATTAATCCCTACTTAACCGTAGATCATCTCACAAGCATCTGCATTCATCTGTGTCATGGTGTGACTCACAACATGCTTTTAAATCTTAGCAACACTTTCCACTTCAATAATAATTGTGTTCACATTTTTTTAAAGTTAATAAAGAAACAAATGCACCTCATCCCAATTTCTGGCAAGGAGGTAGAGCACCCCCACGGTCTGGCCTCACAAATAGAGATCCTTTATGGGGCTTTGTCAGAGGTCGCAAACGGGTTTTGATTCCTTACCCGTACCCCTACCCGGCCGCACCAGGGTTGCAAATGGGTACCCGTACCCGGCCGGGCACGGGTACCCGGTCCCTACCCGTACCCTACCCGAAATGAGTGACAAACGGTTACTCACCAGTGACTCACGGCCTACCCGTACCCGTACCCGGCCGCACCAGGGTCGCAAACGGGTACCCGTACCTGGCCGGGTACGGGTAGCCGGGTATCGGGTAGGGTACGGGAATCGGGTACCCGATTGCGACCTCTGTTCTTTGTCTTCTCGTGATGGTGATGTGACCTCGTCACATGAGGATGAAGCACATGCAAATCGCAGTCAAATGGGTTATTGCTGTAAAAATAAACAAACGACAGTATCACAAAATAACACGGGATATTGTAATTGTCTCGTTTTCTTCCCAGCATGTCTCTTTTGTGCTGGGGGGGGGCTTACAATGTTCTGATGCCAAATACTGAGTCTCCTCAGTATTTATTCATTGCTGTTTATTGAACACAAGTAGGGTGGTAATTGCAACACTTAAGGCGAATTGCATTGCTTTGCAATGATTGCAACACCGTGTCTTTCGCAGGAGACACAAGCCTGACCCGTACCGTGCAATAATTGACATGATGGCAGATGACGTGACCATTTTATTTAAATCTTGTTTTTAAATTTGGAAATTACTATTGCGCATGTACAGCCCTTTCGTCAACCCGCCGATGGATGAGGGCCTCCTCCGCACACCGTGAGGGTCGTGGGGGTTATTTTTCCACGCTTCACTACGTAGCTTGGCGTGGGCGAGTGAAGTTGTGGTGCAGATGTATGAACTGCTTTTTTATGTTTAGTTCAGTGTCCTTACCCGCACCTCCGATTAGCACGGTTGGCTACGTGCGGTGCGAAAGAAGTTCAACATGCTTACCCCGAGCTCTCATACTCTGATGGTGCATTGTCTTTGAGTTGTGCGCCTTTTGGCGTCATCTGGTCCAACCCATGTGAGACTAGGCTCTAAGGAAAGCTGTCTCGGGTGTGGACCAATCAAGGACAGTGCACATTATCAGAGTTATGTTGTTTGTTTGCATTATGACTGCAGGTATTGTGGTCTATGCAAACATGACTCCTTGTAAAAAAGGTGTCAGTTTTGTTGCCAGGTAGAAGGGTAAAAAACCAATTATCAAGTTCAACATACATACATAAACAGCAATACAGAACAACAATAGATTTTCTTACACTGCCCTCTGCTGTCCTCAATGTCGCCCTGTAGCAGCCTACAATAACCGATTGCTTTGTGTTGTGTTCACCCATCTAGGTGAGATACAGGCTCACTGATGCTGGTTTTTTTTAAGATCTGATTGGATTGGGTGCATTCCAGGTGATTTGGTCGTGACACTTGTGTCCCACAGCAAGAAGGGCCTGGGTTTAAATGTCCTCCCTCTGTTCTGCATGGGTTTCTTCCAGCTTCTACAGTTTACTTCCATAGCAAAAAAAAACTTCCAATGTAGTTGTTATTTGTCAAACATTCCACCTTATACAACCAAACGTGCTAATCAATTGGGATTGCACATAACAGCATCACCCCCTCTTTTAAAAATTTAGCTTCAATTAGGCTTTCCTAAGAAACACGTGTAATAATAAAATAATAACAATGGATTTCAATCCACTGTCCTCTGCGTAGCCCCTGCAGTGTTGTGCGGACGCCTAAATCACAGTTATAATTAAAATGTGATCTTTTGACTTGACGTAGATGAGATATGGGGTAGAGCCGTAGCACACTGATTCGCACCCTGCCCTACAAACTGAGTGTTCGGAATTTGATTCCAGACGCAGTGTATGAACTGGCTCCGAGCACCCCATTTACTGACAAGCTTGGTGAAGTATGGTCAAACAACCGCTGCCACAACCTACATGACTTGACGAGGGCTTCATGTAAAAGTGGATTGACAAAGGGCTGTCAATTACTGACAATTTAATTCTGTGAACTGCATGATGTCTCTGAAAGACGAGCAGTGTATTAAACATTCCCTCTTTTGTAACCGTAGATGATGGTGATGTGTGCCCTCCGCTGGACCGAATAAGTGGAGCATGAGGAACGCTCGGATTTGAATGAGCTCAAGGTCGAAGAGTGAGTTGAACAGCAGCAGCAGCAGCAGAGCAAATCGAGCAGGGTGAGAAATGTTAACTATACGCCCTCCATAGCCAATGAGCAGTGCTCCACATATGCTGCATACTGAGAACTGAATTAGCAAAGAATATAGGAATTCATCTTCTTGGTTCTTTCGGTAAAGTCACGTAGAAGGGAAGTAATAAAATAATAAAAATAAAACATAATAATGGTCTTCACCTGAGGACGGCTGCTTGAGTTGTGGCCGAAACGTCGTGAGAATTATTTTATTATGTTTTATTTTTATTATTTTATTACTTCCCTTCTACGTGACTTTACCGAAAGAACCAAGAAGATGAATCCCTGCAGTCACGAAAGCTTTAAATCGAAATATAGGAATTGTCTGAAACGTTTATATTTAATGTGTCATAGCGCGGCAATTCAACCAGTGGGCGAGTTTCTTAACTCCCCCCCCCCCCCCCCCACTGCCTCTGTCCACCCAGCAGTTAGTCGATCGGTAGGTTGAATGTGGTAGGGTAAAGTGTGGGTGCTCCCACCTCTTTGAAGACATCTGGCCTCAATGTTCCCTCGAGATGGCTTATATGAAATTCCCTCTAGAGATGCTCTCTCTAGAACTAGCGGAGCCAATTCCACTAGCAGTGGCGTAGACAAATAATTGCAGGGCTGCACTTTAACACATTACAATATGTCTGAATGAGCTTCAGTGTTTGCATGACAGAAACCGATGCATGTTTGGTGAAGTGATTGGTCACATGATCCTAAGAGCCCGCAAGGGGGCGGCTCTGGTAACATCCCCTCACATGCCCTGCTGTAGAAATATGTTCGTCGCCTGACAGCCAAACTGATACATTTTATTTCTCAGCTGGTATTTCGGCAAATTACGTTCCAAACCGAATTTAACGTACAGAGTTTTTACTGTGCAATCATTGTTGACCAGAGTGAGCGCATAAAATCGCTACACTCGATTCAAACCCAGGATCTCTCAGCAGGTGCTAGCAATGTGGTCCGACCACGGACCAATTTATGATGTTAACAAAACATGGCAATCAGTACTAGTTCAGCACACACCAGTGTCTTGGAGAGTAAACCCACAACATTTCATGTTTCGCCGGTAATTATATAACCAGCTTCATCAGGCGACAGCCATAATTGTGGAGAAATCCTCCTGTTTTGGTCTGCGGCAACTGCATTTCGGCAATGTGTCCGTCCGTGCGATAGCAGGGCGGTGAGAGAGATGGAGGCGGAGGGAGAGCGTGAGGGCCCCTCGTTCCGCGAGCTCTGCTGGCTCGTGTGCTGGCCGCCGCTGCCCAGCCGCATCGTGTCCAAGCTGGCGTTCTCGCCGTCGCCGCCGTCGTACCGCCTGCAGGGAGATGGAGCGAGCGGGCGCTGCGGCCTCGTGCTTACGGAGCGCGCCGACTGGCCGCACACGTCCTCGCGCCTCGACGCTATCGACGTCTTCCTGACGCACACGCGGCGCGGCAACCGCATCGCCTGCATGCACGTGCGCGCCTCCCCACAGGTGCGCGCTCGTCGCCCACTCGGAATAATAATAATAATCGCATTCACAATCTCCGGTTTCCTTCCCGAGTAAAGCCCATTGAGCGATGTAACTTTTTTCAAGGGCAACTCGGCTAGCAGATTAATAATAATAATTCAGGAGCAATATTGCTTGTTTACATAATAGTACAATTGTCACCCTATATCTGTTCAATGCTTCACTTTTTGCAGCTTAGTTTTGTAATTTGTGCTGTGATCATTCTGGAGGTAATCTAGCTAAACCGATTTGCTATGCAGGGAATTTTATATTTAGCTTTTATTTAACGTTGAATCAAGTTTGTGATATGTTTTATTCCTCGTGTCATACAGTTGTTATTGGTATTTGTGTTTGTTCTGATTTCTTTGCTCCATTGCTGTACTTTCTTTTATTTTCCTTTTGTCAATTTGGTGACCCAAGTCACAATCGAATCGCAACACAATTCAGCGTTGCGATTCGATTCAATAATTGAGTGAACCCATTACAACAAGCATTTTAAAGACAGTTATTGTTTTATGCGACGTCCGATGCATGTATCGTGAGCTTTAAGCATTGAAATTAATCATTAAACCGACGTGTTATTATACCCCTACAATTTCACAGGGGTCAGCTCTTGCAAATAATTCTATGGGAGGTTGAATAGCCACATTAAAGGGACCTTTAGGAAATTGGAAAGGTCCCTGCTGTAGAGATTGGTAGGACAGCCCTAGAAAATTAATCGTGGACCCTTTGTTATTTGGCTCTGGAATGAGGAGTGCTGACCGCTAAGATCCTAGACAATTGAGGTGGCCAGGTGCCTCAGAGGTGAGAGCACTGAGCTGGCAACGGTGATATCAGGGGGTCATAATCTGTTTCAGCCACCCGTGATTAAACTGGTTTCTCATTTAGAGGGCTGTATTTGTTTCATTACGTATTGTGCTAATCTGTACGTGGCAGAGCCTATTGTACTAACAATGGGTCTTAATGGGACATCAGGTTTGGAAATTTTTGGTAGCCCATAAAGTCTTGGTGGTTTTGATGCCCTTAGTTTGATCAGGTATTGCTCTTCCTTGTGAATTGATGACCTTGCAATGATTGCCGTTGTTTTACGTTCCAAGGTGCAGGTTGGGTCTCGTTTAATTTAACGGTAGGCACCCTCATCGAGTAAATCTTTGATTTTAGTCGATCGGACCTTATCAGCAGCAAGAATTTGGATATCTTTATTTGCTTTCAATTATCCTAAGGCTTTTGCTTCACTGAAGTTAATATTTGTTTTTGGCAATTTGCTGTTCTCAATTATTTTGGCAACCTCATGCCGAGTCATCTCAACTTGATTGTGGGGGAGGTGTCTAACTGCTGATTCCACTTCAGCAATGATCTCATCGACAGGGATTGTACGTGGGGCAACAGCAAAATTAAGACCTTTAGACAGGACTGAAACCATATCGCTGGATAATTCAACGTTAGTCGTGTTTTAACGACACATTTATATATTTACGCGATCTAACCCAAAAACCTCTTATGGATGACATTGGTCGCGAAAGCCTCCTGCGTGTTAAAATGAACTATCATGCTACATTACTGTTCATGTCGCAGAGCATGTTTACACATCGATCATCCTGCACCGGCTCCCCCCTCCAACCCACCCCACAGGCCCGCTGCACTCTGCTCTTCTCACATGGGAACGCCGTGGACCTCGGCCAGATGTGCGGCTTCTATGCCGATCTAGCAGCCAAACTCAACTGTAACGTCTTCTCCTACGACTACTCTGGCTATGGCGCCAGCTCGGGCAAGCCGTCCGAAAGGAACCTCTACGCCGACATCGACGCCGCATTTCAGGCGCTTCGCACGCGGTAACGAGCCAGCACAGGCCACGGTCATTCATACCGCGGGCAAAAGAAAACAAAACTTTTCCTTACTGAATGACAAATAGGACTTGTAAATACCTTCAGCTAGCCACACATTGATACACATCTTGCTGTTATCCAACGATAAGATTTAAAGGTAGAGGTGCAGCCCTGCAACTGCTTGCTCACTCTGCTGCTGGCAGAGGGATATCGTTCCAGACTGTTGGCAGCCCCAACAGTCTGGAACGATATCCCTCTGCACATTCGCAGCATCACCTCAATCGCCTCCTTCAAGAGAGACTTAAAAACTCACCTCTACAATCACACTTTCGAGCGACTCTGAGCTTGGCTCCGCGCCTCTGAGTTGCGGCCACTACGTCTGCAAATTTGTGCGTGTTACAAATTGTACTATTATTATGAAGAGACTCCACTCGAGGTAGCTTCAGAGGGCGTCTCCAGACCGTTGTGTGTAACAGTGACGTGGGAAGTAGTCTTCGCGTCGACTGCCTATGAAGAGTCCATTGCTTTAACGGAAGTGACTTGAGTGTGCTAAAATTAAAAACTGTATAAAAACATGTCGTGCGTGGAATTGGGCCGAACGTTCCCCACGCCTAGTATACACACTGTAATAGCTAATGAGTCATGGCACTTGGGAGGGTGTGTGCTGCAATGAAATATCACTGGCTGCTGAGCAAAGACACTTGATACAAAGCATGGAATAGTGTAACAGTAAAAATAATAAGAAACATTTTTCGAATGCGCTTCCCAAACATGGAGTCCCCCAGGCCATCCTCGGGAGGTGGGGGGGGAGCCAGGGCCTGTTGAGATGCTGGAGGTGGTGATGTGTGTCTGTGTTGGGGCAGGTACGGGCTAACCCCGGACAAGGTGGTGCTGTACGGTCAGAGCATCGGCACCGTGCCCACGGTGGACCTGGCCTCGCGCTACGAGTGCGCCGGCGTAGTGCTGCACTCGCCGCTGGCGTCCGGCCTGCGCGTGCTCTTCCCAGGGATTGCTCGCACCTACTGCTTCGACCCTTTCCCAAGGTGCGGGAGTGACGTGCGGGGGAGACAAAACGTTTGTAAAACCTACACAACGAAGAATAAGTCATTTGGATTGCGCAATACGTTCAGGGACAAACGCACGTCGGAAAGCATCGCTGAATCCATGTCGTTTTTTCTTTTTCATCATTTTTTTTAAATGCATGAGTTTCTCTCTGTCTCCCTCCTCGTTTTTTTCCGTTTGCAGCATAGAGAAGATCTCCAAGGTTTCCTCCCCCGTGCTGGTGATTCACGGCACGGAGGACGAGGTGGTGGACCTGTCGCACGGCATGGCCATCCACGCGCGCTGCCGTCGCCCCGCCGAACCGCTCTGGGTGGAGGGCGCCGGCCACAACGACGTGGTGCTGCATGCGCAGTACATGGAGCGCCTGCAGAGGTTCCTCACCCACGAGATCGCTTGTGCCTAGGTTCTGCGAGTCGCGCACCACCACGCCGTGGACGGGGAGCAATGGCCACGCCAATATCATCACGTCGTCGCGTAAAACACCGTCATGGCGGTGTTGGTGGTGTCGTTGTGACACCTTTGGTGGCGTGTGCCACTTTTTAACGCAATGCAATGCAACCGTCTGAATGCATTCCACCATTGAGAGTAAACGCTGCCACGCGCGCTGGTTCATTTGCGTCGTTCCATAGACACCGCCATAACTGACGTGGGGGTAGCGGTTAAGTGGTGGTAGTGGTGGTGGATGTGCCACATTTGTTTTTGGCGTGAGCCACCTCGCAATGCAATGCACCTGTCTGGATGCAACTGCTTTCTAACACAATGGTGAAATAGAATCAAAGGTGAAAGGTGCAGCCCTGCAATTTCTTGCTCTCATCACTGCTGGCAGAAGGGCTTCCACTGGAGGGAGCTCTAGAGAGCCCCTATTAGAGGGTATTTTGGTCTGCTCTTCCAGAGATGGGTATTACCCACACTTTATCCCACCACAAGCGACCTGCCGATCGACTTGACTGTGGTGTAGTCATCTATACTGCTGGGTGGACAGAGGCGATGGGAGGGGGGGGGATTAAAAACTCGCCCTTTGTTTCAACTGCCACTCCGGGAGATGAATTGAACTGGTGACCTCTCATTGCAAGTCCAGTGCGATGACCATATCACCTCAGCAGCATCCCCAGTGAAATGGAATGCGCAGCAAAGAATGGGCGTAACACGCACATGCACCATGCAATTTGCATCGACAGATTTCACCACATCGCACTGGACCGCATCATTCTGCAAAGAACCGCACTGGATTAGAGATCACAAGCTGGTGTGCATGTGCAACTTTTCTTGGGGCCACAGAAAGCATTGACGGAGGAGAATTCCATGTCAGACGTGTAGTGCAATCATCCATTTGCTTTGATCTGATGACCATTCCATTACCATGCCGTGAAGTGTTTTTACTCCGTGTGCGCCATCACTTAAAGTCGTTTGCGTGTTCTTGCGGAGTCGTGCTTTACCTGTTTTGAGTTTGTATTTTGCTTTTCCGTGACAGTGTTAAACGTTTAAATTGCGTTCATGATCGCGAACCTCGGGGGCTGGTCGTCCCGTTATTCATCTTGTCTTACAAACTGTGAAGAGAAGAGATCACTATTTTCCTACGGCCTGGAGCCCAGCAGTAGACACAGCGGGTGTACATTTGTGCGTGTGTGTGTGTGTCTGCCCGTGCCCGGCACACTATACCAGTGTGCCATTCATAATATGGATGCATGCCTGTGTACATAATGCAAAGTCCAAAAAATGTATTCAAACTTAAGAGTTTGGTACCAATCAGGGCTTAATTTCTCATTGAATGTTTTTTTTTCTGGGTCGCTAGTAGACCTGGAGTAGGTAACAACGTGCCGAGTATCCACAGCCCATATTGCGAGGAAATGTTGGATGTGGTGTGCCGGGAGAAATAATGAGCAGGTCGCCAACCCGGACAGACCCGGCTGAAATTAAGCCCTGGTACTCATGTCCAGTTAACTCTCGGTCCTCTGGGGTAATGGGAGGTGGGGGGGGATGGGTTACCCGGGTAGAAACAAAAACACGGGACAATGCAAATGGTATGCAACATAGGCTATGAAAAAAAAAAACATTTATTGTTTACTTACGTAGAATGTGGATGAAAATGTAGAATGTGCCGTGTTTTTATTGGTCGCTGAGTCACGAGTGGGGGAGCAGTAAGTAGTCGAGTTAGTGCGCATGCGTAAAGGGCGTGAATTGGAGGAGACTTTTATATTTTCTTTATTTTTTTGCAAGCACGGTTGACCCGCAACCCGGATAATGAACACACGGTTCATCGAGAGGTGACTGCGTATGGGTCGTTGATCTTGGTTTTTGTCTTTCTTCCTCGTGAATGTTACATTTATCGCGTCAATCTTTTACAGGGGCTTGCTCGGTGAGCCTAAAAGTCAGGGCCGCAACTGAGCTATCGGTTGGGAAACTTGGTCGCACGCGGCTGAATTGTGCCTGCAAACTAGTCATGAGCAGTTGTGCAACCGACTGCTTGCAGTCAAGATTCGCCTCTCTTTTCAACAGATCTTCTCGGCGATTTGTAGCAATGTCTTTCATCACGTGCGCGCATTTGTGAACCGTGATTGGTTCGTCCAATCCTGAACGTGGCGCTTGATTTTATTGTTGCGCAACCGCTTGCTCGGATGTGGACGAAGCCAGTTGCAGGGGATGATTATTATTTCCATTTAAAGCTTTCGTGACTGCAGGGATTCATCTTCTTGGTTCTTTCGGTAAAGTCACGTAGAAGGGAAATAATAAAATAATAAAAATAAAACATAAAATACGATTCTCACGACGTTTCGGCCACAACGCAAGCAGCCGTCCTCGGGTGAAGAACAGGTCTGTCGGAAAGACAGCGTCTGAATGAACGTTCATTCGGAAAGACAGCGTCTGAATGAACGTTCATTCAGACGCTGTCTTTCCGACAGACGTGTTCTTCACCTGAGGACGGCTGCTTGCGTTGTGGCCGAAACGTCGTGAGAATTATTTTATTATGTTTTATTATTTTATTATTTCCCTTCTACGTGACTTTAACGAAAGAACCAAGAAGAGTGATGATTATTATCAAGTTGCGTGATTTCGAGAGCGACTTGGGTTGAGCAAGCTATCTCTCCGTCGTGGACCTGGCCAAAGTTGGCCCTGTGCAGTGTTATTTTTGCACCGTGTTTTCAGTTGCAGCTTTTGTTGATATTTTGTTTTTATTAGGCATGATGTTGTTGTCCCCATTTAGTTGAAAGACGTGTGAAACTTGAGCAGGGATTGACATTGGTGGAATTGACGAGAGCTCGTTTTGCCAAAGGCCTTCATCGTCTTGCGGAAGCTCTTTCCTCTTCCATAGCAAAGGGGGGGGGGGGGTTGTGTTTAAGTCTTCTCTGACCTCACGTCTTCCGTAATATATGGAAACATTTGTCTGTGTTCATGTCGTTTGAGATATTTAAAAATAAAACAAATCTTTAGTTGTGAATTCCGCCGCCGTTATCGAGTGTTGCAACAGCCATTGTGTACACCAAGAGCATCGTCAGGTGTCGCGTTTACGAGGACCAATTTAGAAGCCTCCATACAGTAGGGGTCATACAACCCATTACATTAAACATACACGCAACAAATTCTGAGTTTTTACATGAGCCAATGGATCTATCAAGATGGCAGATACAATGTCTGTAAAAATCAAGTACTGTTATTATAAGAGGCCGTTATTTTTGTATTTAGCGAATGCTTTTACACAGCACCAGATACACAAAAAAAATTAAATACAAATGTATGTCGATGTTACATGTGAGTGTACGTCAGCCCACGTAGCCACAGAGCCATGTGACACCCTCCTCCATCACGTGCAGGGCAACCAGTCTGCCCCGGCACGGCCTGGCGGACTTCACAGCCAGAGACGATGTGCGCCACAGTCTCATTGCTCCCCGAAGTACTTTGAGAGACAGTACATGGAGTTTAATGAACATTGGATATCCATTGAGTTTAAATTATTGCGACATAGTGCTTGTGAGCTGTATAACTCCACTCGTAACTGGTAGCTGCCTTGCCCGTCCCTCTGTTGGCTTGTAGTATTCCACAGAAAGAGAATTACTTTGTTGACCAATGGTAGGGATCAAATGTTATTAAATGTTTAGCATGCAACTTGAATTTTAGGTTGACCCTGCCCTATGAGCAAAACTAATCAAACCAATCATTCATCTGGGCATAAACAAAAATTACGTTCCAGCTATATGGTTCTGGCTATATGCGTAGTCCCACAAATATTTGGCAGCTTTGAGCTGTTTAACCCTTTCTGAATATTACAATTAACCTTTGCTCATAATGGAAATGGTTGAGTTATCAATGGTTGATGAACCGTTCATCGATGGTTGAGCAGAGAGTGAAACATGCGTTGGATTACAGAAACAGGCATGGTGTGGACTTCCAAGGACAACACCCATGGCTTTTATTTCGCTCCTTTCACAGCCAAATACCTCACAACGCACTTAATCCAATACATGGGGACATTATTTGGTGACAATGCATTGGCTGTGGTGCCCGAGCACAAATAAAATAATGTTTTTAAATTATATAGCCAAATAACACTGCCTTGAAAGAAAAAAATATACAATCTTATTACATTTCGATTTAAAGCTTTCGTGACTGCAGGGATTCATCTTCTTGGTTCTTTCGGTAAAGTCACGTAGAAGGGAAATAATAAAATATTAAAACATAATAAAATACAAAAATAAAACATAATTAAACACAATTCTCAAACATAATAAAATACAATTGTGAGAATTGTATCCTATTTCGATTTAAAGCTTTCGTGACTGCAGGGATTCATCTTATTGGTTCTTTTGGCATAGTCACGTATAAGGGAAATAATAAAATAATAAAACATAATAAAATACAATTCTCAAACATAATAAAATACAATTGTGAGAATTGTATTTTATTTCGATTTAAAGCTTTCGTGACTGCAGGGATTCATCTTCTTGGTTCTTTCGTTAAAGTCACGTAGAAGGGAAATAATACAATAATAATAAAACAATAAAATAATTCTCACGACGTTTCGGCCACAACGCAAGCAGCCGTCCTCCCTTTGATGCTGCTAATCCTGCATAATGCACGGGCATAATATGACTTTGAAACCCCCCGCCCACCTACGAATTTTCCATAAATATGCTAAATTCCTCTTGATATGCAAATTCTTTTGTCAAGGCGCTCTTCTTCCCCCCTCCAACCCAGCTTAAATATACGCTCCAAGCTTGGTGGTGTTTCATTCTTCACCTGAGGACGGCTGCTTGCGTTGTGGCCGAAACGTCGTGAGAATTATTTTATTGTTTTATTTTGATTATTTTATTACTTCCCTTCTACGTGACTTTACCGAAAGAACCAAGAAGATGAATCTTATTACATTTTGGGAAATGTCCCTTCTTTATAGCACAGACACTAAACTTGTATATATTTTTTTCACCAGGTAAAGCCCACTGAGCTATTAACTCTGGTAAGAGTCGAGCAGGCCTAACATTGCTGGCGGAGATGCTGCATGTCGAGAGCAGTCCAGAGTTTTGCTCGTCCCGAGGCAATGCTGCTGCTGCTGAAATTATTCACGCCCCGGAAGGCCGAGGCAGGTAATGGGGTTAAAAACACGGTCCTTCGGAGTGGGCAGGTAGGAACTTGGTTGGACAGCGCATTCGTGCACGACAGACAGACATATAATCCCTGGTGGGCAAGTGTGGAACCTGTTGTTCCTACCTGTTTACAAGATCACGTGACTTGAGGTAGCCAGGCAGCCAGCCAGGTAGCCAGCCCCATTAACTATCGGCCCCTCCTCCTTGCTTAGGCACCTCCCCCCTTAGGCCCCTCCCCTGATCACCCCCCCATATCCTTAGGCCCCTCCCCTGACCCCCCCCCCTCAGGCCCCTCCTCTGACCCCCCCCCCCACAGGCCCCTCTCCTGACTCCGCCCTTCCTTAGGCCCCTCCCCTCCCCGTACCCGGCAGTAGGTCACCAATCAAAGAGCTGTTTATATTATATATATATTTATGCACGACAGACAGACAGACAAATAATCCCTGGTGGGCAGTGTGGAACATTGTACCTACCTGTAAAATACTTTTACAACATTTGCGTTACCGACAAACTTTTCAGGAACGTATATATCCTGTGTATCGAGGGATGCCCGCAACTGGTGCGGTGTGTAAACATCGCCACTGGGGAGACAAAGGCGGTCTAGCGCGATGCTGGCCACCCACCCCCTCGTGCACCGGGACGGCTATCATAGGTGCTACTCGCTAACAACACTGCAGTCTGTTAAAGACGACACGGACGAACTTTGTTTATGACCACAGTTGTATAGTATAACATTACTGACACCAGGCACGATTTTTGGGGTGCCACTTAACTTTTCGAAGCGTCTGGAAGAATACAATAGTGATTGTCTGCATCACTCTTGTAATGCTGATTTTGCACGTCATCTTGAAAGCGTGCAACACGGAAAATGTGCACGTTTGCAAATGTGCGTGGTTACGGGGCCGGTGAAGAATGTGTCTCGCTTCACC